GTATAATTTAAAAGCAAACAGAAACCAATTTAGCAAGTAGTTTGAGGTATATATGATTCTCGAAGATGAATTAGATGATTGTACAGAACGGCCACTCCTTGCAATCGAACTGCGGAAGTGGAAACATGTAATATGAGACTTTTCCATCCCCCTCTTGGGCTATCAATTTTCTATGGGTCACGTGACCAGCTCCGACCAGGGTCTTTGCTTACCAAGAGCAAAGAGCCTGGGAACGAGGTTGGTCTAAAAATAGATCAATCCCAGTTCCCATTTTACCCCTTCAGGACCCTCAACATGGGTAATGAGTTATATTGTTATTCTAATGAGTTTCCAAACCATCTATTCTATTAACTTTTGTGGGAGTGAACACTCCAGGCCCCTGCTGGACCAAAACGTTGAAAAGTTTAGAGCCCCCTTCAGTATATCGAGAACTTTTAGAGCCCCCTTTAATGCCAGAAAGTATTTCCCCCCCTTAACATCTTCATCCCCCCCTCGGCATAATAAATGTACTTTCCCTAATATATATGACATCATATTAAACAATTTCTCATCATATGAAACATTCTCAGAACATGCTATGAAGAAACGATTGAAAAGCTACCTAGTTGAAATGTTTTTGTCCAGCAAATTAATTTAGCCATGTGTTTGAGCATAACTTTTCAAAAATTATTTAGTAATGGCTAAATTACTTACACTGAATCTCTGGTATTAAATCAATGATTTGTGAACTTATTATACATATTTTGCTTGTCCACTGTATTTCAAATTTGGTACACTCACCAACTTCAAATTGGAGTTAATTTGCAAATTTAAATTTGTGTATATTCTAGGGTGAACATCAAACATGATTGGCTGATTTGTGGTCACGTGGTGTTGGATAAATGCAGTGTATCCAACCGGGCAACACCTGAACAATTGTTGCCCGTCCCGACCGGCTAGGTACATAAATAAACCAAATAGCGGCACAACTTGCAAGTTTATAACGACGATTTTCCAATTTTGTGTTAAAATGAAGATTGTAAAAGGGAAGAAAAAATACACAACAGGCAACAGGATATGCTACTGAAACCGTTAAGTAGGTTCTTTTAAATTTAATTAAACTCGTTTACTAAACTATAGAGTTTTTGAATTGAAATACAATTGTCGTATGAATGTTGTTGATTTTCCTTTCGTCGCTATATAAAGAAACACTTAAAGGTGATGTAAAGTCCGTAATGTAAACAAACGCTTTGTTTACATTTTGAACTCACTGCTACAGTTGTGAAATATGATTATTTATATATATATATATATTATACTGAATTTTTAACACTTTTCTGGTTCGTTATGCTTGTAAATGAATACAGACTAGAGATTCAATTCAAGAAAGTTCGGAAAAGAGCGAAATATTAACAACATTCCAAAGGTTGCTCCCCCACTGATGGAATGTTTTGATGCGCAGAATATATGCGCAGAACGGACTTTACCGCATCTCTAATGTCTGTTCCTTCAGAAAATAGTTAGTTTTGTTTCCCCTCGTCTCTCGAATCTCAATTTCTCCAACATTGAGAAACAAACTATTTCCCTCAAGAGCAGACATTAAGTGTATACTATTCCAATACAAAATTCAATAATATATGAAACAACGACTAATCGAATAAAGGCAAAGAAAGTGTCAAAAACTTTATTATGTAATATTTACATTGAATTTCTTGATTGTCAGAAGTACGTTGTAGATTTATGCTTGGAATTTTTGAGCACGAAATTTTTTGCTTGATTATGTTTAAATTTCTGCTTTGTTCGCCATTATTGCTTATCTCTAAGTATAGTCCACAGTCCTCTTTTGTTTTCATTTCAAGTCTTCACAGAATTTTGTTTACATGCCGGCATTTCCATACAAAAAGTAATAAAACTCACATTCGGACCTTCGTATTGCCACAATATCACCCAGTTAATGAATAAATTTCGGTACTTTCATTTTATTCGCATTGATTTGGTTTGATTATCCCAGGACTTCTGCAGCGCCACAAGCGCAGAAGCCCTGGGTACGAGGTTGTGATGTAAGCTGTCGGAACAGGGGAAACCCCGCTTAGGGACCTAACATACGCCAACCTCGTTCCCAGGGAAAGAGCGAATACCCTGGGAACGAGGTTGAACATACGCGAGATTTCCAGAGGAAACTGAAAGCGCTAATACAGAATGAAAAAAAATATTTCAAGGATATTTTAATTTTTCGCTGAGATAGAGCGTTCTTAGTATACTGACTTGTTAAAACTTGTGGACAGTGTCAATATGTGGCGGTTCGATGACTCATGTTGTGCACGTTGTTCAGGAAAAGTTTCAACCTGCATGCATAAGCGTACAAATAGCTTCATGTATTATCACGGTAAAGTAACTTGTGGCAGAGATATGGTGCGTTTTAATTAGATAAGTGGCAAGCCTGTTTGCCGCCTTCGTCGATCGAATATTCCTGAGGAGAGTAAAAGCACTAATTCAGTTCAGACAAGCCAATTTTTTAAAGTCATGTGGAAATTATCAGAAAAGAAAGAAAAAACATTATAGCATTACATTTATTCCTTACAACGATATAGCGATTTTGATGGGATCTAATGCTTGCTCAAGATTTAATTGACCCGACGCCATTTGGCGACTTAACCAGTGATACAAACGGTTTAGAAATATCAGGAAGCAGTAGAGACTCAGCGATTGCATGTGTTATGTGATATTCCATTTGTTGAGCAAGAATAAAAAAAAATATTGGAGTTAGAATAGGCGAAGGCTTTGTGGAGTTGCAGCCATTAATTCGGACACAAACGCCATCCTTCTGGCTCTAGATTGAATCTGTAACTGGAGTTGTAAATCTGAACTGGTGCTAACTGGCTCACGATCAAACCCACGCAGTGACGTAGCCAGAGTGAGATACCGGCAATTGATAAAACTAGAATAGTGAAGCGAATAGTGCGAATAGTGCGAATAGTCGACGAATAGTACGAATAGTCCGCGAATAGTCGACGAATAGTGCGAATAGTCCGCGAATAGTCGACGAATAGTACGAATAGTCCGCGAATAGTCGACGAATAGTACGAATAGTCCGCGAATAGTCGACGAATAGTACGAATAGTCGACGAATAGTGCAATAGAGACTTTGCAAGGCTTTCCACCGTGCTGCAGAACTAAATTTACCGGGGCGGGGGGGGGGAGGCTCTATTGACAAACATGAAATCGTGAAAACATTCGTTGATGTCAATGACGTCATACGTAATCGGTAAAAATTACGGGACCACTGAGTTTTAACAAATATTTACAGGTAAACTACGTGAAGCGTTCCTCTTTTGAGTTTCTAAATTGATTGCAATTTTCCTCATTACTTTTGCAATTTAAAAAACTCCCTTGCAAATTCCTTGAGGGAATTTGCAATGTTGCTAAAAGCCCAAAAAATTTTCCTCAGTTCCTGTTAGACGTTCTTAACTTCCTGTTACAAGTTCCTAACTTCCTGTTCTGTTCTGGGCGTTGCAATTGGCTAACAAAAATAATCGACCAATAACAACGCTCAGAACAGAACAGGAAGTTAGGAAATTAAAACAGGAAGTTAGGAAAATTTAAAATGAAGTTTGGAATATTGCAACAGCCGATAGGAACATTGCAAATTCCCTCAAGGGATTTGCAAAGAGTTTTTCTAATTTGCAAAGCTAATGAGGAAAATTCCAAATGATTTACGAAGTCAAAAGAGGAACGCTTCACGTAGTTTACCTGTAACAGGAAGTAGAATGACAATCACTAGAATGACGTTTCCCACTGGGCGAATTTGTTCGCGCGAAGCGACAAGTAATTAGTAAAAGAGTAGGATGATCCAACTTTTTCGCGGCGAATTTTTTCGCTCACCAATCACATTGCCGAAATTTGGTTTTCGCTTCGCGCGAGCAAGTTCGCCCAAAAACGGGCTTAAATAATAAATCGATACCTTCTCTTGTTTCGTGATGTAAATCACGTTTTCCAAGCACACGAAATCACTTAAGCCCTTAAATTTTCAGTTACAACGTCACAACTTACAAGTAAAATTCCTATAAAATTCCATCAGTAAAATTCATGACTCATATGGTTACCACTTACCATCAGGAATGATTATAAATTAAAAAAATATGAAATATATTTCCTGACGGTGACTGCATTTTAATCGAAAGCTACAATATTAAAATGTTTATTTTCGAAGTTACCGTTGTTTTATATTTTATTAAAATACTCAGTGGTTCCCGTAATTTTTACCGGTTACGTATGACGTCATTGACGTACGTCAACGAATGTTTTCACGTTTGCAAAGCCTTGCAAAGTCTCTATTGCACTATTCGTCGACTATTCGTACTATTCGTCGCCTATTCGCGGACTATTCGTACTATTCGTCGACTATTCGCGGACTATTCGTACTATTCGTCGACTATTCGTACTATTCGTCGACTATTCGCGGACTATTCGTACTATTCGTCGACTATTCGCACTATTCGCTTCAATATTCTAGTTTTATCAATTGCCTGAGATACCCGGGGTCAACCTCCCACTGCTAAAATATTGGGCCCACTTAGAAAAATTCTGACGAGTAAAAGCATGTGAATAATATTTTAATTTCTTGTAATGGAAATTTCATATCTTCTTATGTACGTTTTAAATGTTCTGGATTTGTAGAAATGTGTTATGTGTTTAAATGGTATTTAACACCAAAACACATTATAAAGTAACCCACAAAATGCTGAAAATAGCACTTTTCCGACTCTTGAATTTAAAAAATTTCCCAGGGAGCATACCCCCGGACCCCCTAAAAGTTCATCGTACTATATTATGCATGGATAGCATGAGCATCCATGCAAGTACGTTTTCACATTATTCCAAGTAGCGCACTGCAGAGGTTAAAATTGCTTGGGTCCCTCTTAGGATTTTCTCGCTCCCCCCCCCCGCCTCTTGCATACCGAAGCAGCGTGCAATGTTTGTAAATAATGTAAAGCATGCAGGAACTTGTTCTTTGAAATATTCAACAGTCGTAATCATAATGCTTTAGTGTTTGTGTTATGTTTCCGATGATATAAGCTGGTATATAAGGTGGATCTTCTAAATCTTCGAAATAGGCTATATATTCACTGGTAAGTGCACTTACTGTAGTTAAGTCGTCATTAACACTGTTAAATATCATTATTTTTGCGATAATATGCTCGTCGAATGAGCTTCGTGGTGAGCTATCAACTGTCACAAGTGTTTAGAAGATTGCACACTTATCTAAGACAACTGAATGTATATATAGACTATAGTACGCAACGAAATGATCGTAGTTTACAAATATACCAACAAAAGCGTGCATGAGAGTATCTCGATGATGTTTCAAGTATTTCCTATATTATTAGATCTTCAAGTCGAAACGTTTAATAATCGCAATCTGCATGGCATTTCATGGTTGACAGGCGGGGACCTCTGACATTGTAATGACTGCGACATAATCTTGCATGGTTAGGCAGAACGGTGATACATGTATATCGGTGTATCAGTTCTATGCTGACATGATGAATACATTTTAATTTCACATTTCCGGCTTCTCCACCGCGATTCAAATGTTGTTTGTTTTTACACTGGCATCGGTCTGCCAACTTATTGGTAAATGCAAAATTTGGTCTCTTGTTTTTATCACTGAAAACTTATACTAATTCAAATATTAGCTGCACATTAAACGCCGAGGTCTTGAGTTTTATACATAGGCTCAGCATACAGAAGAATTTAATGAATTTCATACGGACTGTCTATGAAATAACAGACGGCATCTATAAAAATTATGGGTTCTATTTTATGCTCTGCAGTTGTTAGTACTTAATTAATTAAACAAATCCAATCAAGCCATTCTTTGAAAGAGAAATGAACGCGCTTTAATAAAAGTTAGTATAATTCATGTGTTGACAAATTTGTTAGTTGATAAGTATACTAATAATGCAATTAATATGGAGAATAACATATATAATTATGAGAAATTAGATACAGGTATATAGGTATTATCAGTCAAGGGCAAATCTGCAACACTGCCCATGCACGCATTGGTTTCCTGCATTGATTTCGGCTTTATTGACTGATGAAGTAAAGAAACTTCAAGACGTTAAAGTCTTAAAGATAAACTTGAACTAATACAGAGTTTGATCTGATCTAATCTGATCTGATTGACTGATCAAGTAAGTGATCAGGTTATTGATATATCCGATATGTTGCGATTCACCGTATATAGGCTACATCACGCTTCTTTGCTCTGTAGTCGGCGTGAAGTACAGCTTTATTCACAATCCTAGTACCTGATTGTTCTATTCTTCGCTTTAAATTTCATTGAAAATATCTGTGTCCAATCTATATATAAGCGCATGTTTAGCGAAATACAAACATACATAATCAGGATATAGGTATTTATTAAGTATCAAGGGCAAATCTGTAACACTGCCCACACATTGATTTTGACGTGTCAGTCTTTCATTAACGTAATAGTTCAGAGCAAATTCATTTTCTATAGATATGTAGGTTAAAATAAGTAAGGAAAGTTATTCGAACTTCTTCCTGTAGGCGTGGCAAAAATGTAGGCCTACATTTATCTATAATTTAGTAGTGGTTGAATGTAGTTGATCCTTAGTCGTTGAATGTTGTTATAAAAACTGTATACAGTTAGAAAATGTTTCGCTAAACTGCAAATTCCGCACAATTGGTGAAAACTTTATGCAAGCATGGATAGTTTGGGATCTTAAAATATTTTTACCACTAAAATTATTTTGAAAAGTAAATTTTCGAGTCCAGGAAGGTTGTTTTAAAAAACACTTGAAAAATAGCTTGCGCACATAGCTTGAATTCATAGCCATAGGGCAGGGTTTAGTTTAAGAAAAAATTGATTTAGAACTGCACATCAGTATAGGGATGTTACGAAGGCAATGTGTGTTTGACTGGGGGTGGGGGGAGGTGTCTTAAGTTCTGGCAAAGATTTGTTTTACCCAACCACTCACAAAAACTGTTTCAAAAGTATAACTGGGAATCATGGATATTCAATATATAGGCTAATAACCTTAAATTTGCATTTGAGGCAACAAAGAATATTAGGTTCGAATTCTCCCACTCTAATCTCTTTTGGAGAGCTTCGCTCGCCCCAATATTTTTACACTTTTCAATTACCCCAGCACGTAAGTGATTTGTAAGGAAAATAAGCGGGTCTGGAGTCCTCCCCAAGAAAAAAGTTTATATATTTGATGCTCAATTAATGACAGCATTTCTGGAATTATCTGGAGTATCCACAATGGTAACGAGTAAATGAGATGAGACTGTTTTAATTAAGGTTATTTTTGTTAGTTTGGTGACTGCACATTTGTGTTTTAGGAATTGCACAAATGGGTTTAGAACTGCACATTTTGTGTAGAACTGCGCGTTAAAATAAACCCTGCCATAGGGTGCAAATTTAGAAGGTGTTTTATGAATTATCAAAGTATCAGACAATTTGATGTAAATTAACTCCAAAGCTCGACATCTAACACTTGGACGTTTTTGCCATAATAGCCTTTCACGCATAATTTTTAAACTTTTTGTAAACCAATCAAAGTTGTATAAAATCAAACATGCATAAAATCACTCATGCGTTTGAAATAAATTGCGCGTGAACGGCCAAAACTGGTTTCTAAAAACAACCATCCTGCACTCGAAAATTTACTTTTCAAAATAATCTAGTCGTTAAGATACTAGCAGACTCCATACTACCCATGCTTGCATATAAAGTTTTCACAAATTTTGCGGAATTTACAGTTAAGTTTAGCGAACATTTTCGAACTGCGCAGTTTTTTTATACCCCCTTTAGTTATAATTGTCGCAATACATATCTGAAATAAAATTGTGTAAAATGTATTGGTTGTCTGCACGATTGATTCAGGACATTCTATACAGTCTCAAGTTTAAGCGGTATGGAAGACCAACATTCGCGGGGTTTCCACAACAATTAGGCCTGCATGGGTCAAACGTCGAACTTTTCATGCGCCGAACCTAATACAATTACTTTCGACATTAGGTCGACGATGAAGCGGCGTCGAGTCAAACGTCGAACTTAATACGTCGTACATAATTCATCCTATTATTTTACATGAAGTATCACTTTATAATTCGCCGGTGCGAACTGGCGGGAAATTTTAAAAACAAATAAACAATTCGAAATGTTGCCTTATCTTGATATAAAAAAACTGTTGAAAAAAATATCAAAGCTAAGAGCGACTGCGTAAAAGACGTCGGAAACTCTTAGATGCGGGAATGGTATTAGCCCCGAAGATTGATAATTCGAGCATGCTTAATGGCCGCGGCTATGGCTTTACAATCCCTGAATTCGAGTTTCGAAACCGCAGGTGCAGAACGCTGCAAAAAAATACTGGTTGGTGGCTGTTATATGGAATTCATACTGTGATGAACGCTTTAAAAAAACTTCGAGTATCCAGAAAAACGTTTGATTACATTCTTTCCCGTATACGACACAAACTAGAACGTAAAACAATTTGTCCGGAAAATGAACATAGATTGTATTCAGGAATACGGCAATTTATACAAATATATTTTGTTCCTTTGTAGCATGAACAACATTCTTGATCTTTCATTTTCGCCGCCATATTTATTTACAAGCGCATTTGCGCATGCCCAGCCTGAATTTCAGGGCAAAAATAAATAGAGATTACGTCATGGTTGACGAGTGCGTACGATTTTTATTCACGAGTTGTGAAAGATTATTATATAATACCTTATTGAATTCTGATCGTTTAATTGGCTGTTTATGGTCACGTGATATTGAATAGAAAATTCCATTTCCCAAGAGTGCAATGGAATACGTTCCATTGCACTCTTGCGAGTGCAATTGTACTATACGTTTTATTCCATTGCACTCTCTGTGTTTTCGATAAATCGCATCCGTCAAAATGCTTCTCGTGCGGTGATCGCAGTTTATTTTAACCCGATATTCGAAATTCAGTAAATGGAATTTAATTTTCAAATTCGACTCGTCAAAATGGCGGGAGCTTGCAGTAAACCTTTCGTTTTGGTCACCGAAGAAGATATGTTCGAACTTATAGACAATTCTGATGCTGCAAATACAAAGAAACAAATAAAATACGCTGTTAGTCGCATGATTTCCTTTGCTTCGTGCGCTGGTGTAACGTGTTTGGACAACATGACAGACTTGGAACTTGATAATTTTCTAGCACGATTTTACGCCGGACTACGAAAGGACGATGGCCATTTGTACTCAACAAAATCCATGCACGGCCTTCGCTACGGTATACGTAAACATTTCCAATCGCTCAAAGGTATCGATATTACTAACAATGAGCAATTTGTGCAAAGCAACAGAGTGTTTAAAGCAATGTTGGTAAAGCTCAAAAAGGAAGGCAAAGGCGTTGTGAAACATAAAGATCCCATAAGCAAAGAAGACATGACCAAAATATTATCATTTTTGGATTTAAATTCACCACAAGGTTTGCAGGACAAAGTCTTTATTGATATTATGATGTATTTTGCAAACAGAGGGAGAGAAAATTTACGAAATATGAAAATTACTGACTTTGTTATCCAGAGAAACGAGCAAGGTCTGCAGTATGTAATTCATCGTGATGTACTCACAAAGACAAGGCGAGAAAATAACAACGAGGGATACAGTGGACACATGTATGAGATTCCAGGTTCATCGAACTGTCCTGTTGCTTCATTCCTAGCCCTAAAGGACGTTTTAAACCCTGCACAAGAGTGCATGTGGCAGAGACCTAAATCTCAAGTGCCATCAGAAGGACCGTGGTTCACAAATGCACCTTTGGGAGTCAACACTCTTGGTAACAAGATGAAAACTATCTCTGAGAAAGCTGGATGCTCTTTGATATATACAAACCACAGTTTAAGGGCCACAACTGTTACTCTTCTCGATGAAGCAGGAGTTGCAGGTCGTGATATCATGGCTGTCACAGGACATAAGTCTGAGTCATCCCTCAAGCATTATGTTCGTACTAGCAATGCCAAAAAGCAAGACATGAGTACCATCATTTCATCTCAAATGCAAGAAAATATTCCAGTGGCTAGGGAGGAACCTGCTGAAAGTATTCTTGACGATCTAGTATTAACAGACTCACAAGAACAGTTTCTATTCAGTGAATCTAATTTAAACATTCAAAGCTCCTTGTCATCAACCACACAACACTTCCATTTCCATGGTCCTGTTGTCTTTAACAACAAGTAAAAAGTATGACATTTTACCATTATTTGACATTTTAACATTATTATTACACTGTATTTATCATGTTTTGAATGATTTGAAACATTCATTTTCTGTTATATTTGTGTGTATTTATTTTAATTAATATTAAATGGTGTATTATTAAACTGTTCTTGAAAAAGGCAATATTAGTCTATTTTGGTATTATATAAAACAAATAATGAATGTTTTTATGAGTGCAATGGTAAGAATATTTTCATTCGGTGAAAGATGGAATGTTCCATTCAACTCGGCTATCGCCTCGTTGAATGGAACATTCCATCTTTCACCTCATGAAAATATTCTTACCATTGCACTCATAAACATTCATTATTTGTATACTAACGAACGAGTGAGCGCAGCGAACGAACGAGTGAGTTAGTAATCTTTCACAACGAGTGAATAAAAATCGTACAAACGAGTCAACCATGACGTAATTTGTTTATTATATATATAATGAACCGTGATAAATCGACAAAAAGGACTTTATAACGGTGGCCAATTGATAACAAAGTCAATCGACTTGAATGGTCCAAGGACAAATCAAATGTGTTTACAACATTTATTAGTTTAACATATGAAAAAGTGAAAACAATCATCCTAACAAATTAACAATCAACATCGAGATCAACATATACAGCTATGAAGATCTAATATAGCCAAAAGGAAGCCATTTGACAACTCAACACATAAAAATACATAATTAGACAAGTTGTCGCCACCTATACCGGTGGCTATAAAAACTGTATAAACTGTTTCAAAAAATTGTAGTGCAATCTGACTCAGAATCGCTCAGAAGTTTTAAACGTTTGTATGTTTTTGGTGGGCTATCCACATTTGTCATAGATAGTGTTGGAGACTGCTTGAGAGTATTTATTGATATATTTATACTCCCTCCACTTATCGTTGCGTTCGAAAACAGCGCCGGCATAGCATGTTCTTGGACATTGTGTTCGCTTGTCGTTTTCTGTCTGTTCGTCGACGAGTGAACTTCGATCAACCCCTGAGTTTCCAGTGGTCAAGTTAGACAAATGACTCAGCTTTCCAGTGGCAACTGAACTGAGAGTTCTCGACATTTCCATTTGCTGTGACTCGTTGACAGTGGAATAATGAGTAACACTCTGCAGGTTCTTGTGGCCCGACAGTTGAATAATGTCTGTTGGTGGAAAGTTTTGGTTTACCAAGGCCTGCATCATTGTTTTCCTTCCGCTGTGGTTGGTAAATTTGGTAGTAAGTCCAGCTTTCGCAGCCATGTTCTTCATTATCGAATTTAGTTTATTAACCCCGGCGGGGGCTTTTTTGAACCAAGCTTTACATGAAACGGATTCAGGTTTCTTTAAATTGTTTACAGCAAGATAAAATGGGCTATCGTCGCTGTTCATTTCTGCCGGACGTTTTTCCGCAAAAAGTTTGTACGCAGCAATAGGATCTCTTTTATTTCCTGGTACGGAAACATTTTTGGAGTTACTTTTCGCACATCTCTGGTGTTTTCCCCCGAGCGTGTTTTCGTTTGCCTTTCGTTGTATTCCAAATATTCCTCGCCAGAGACCGTTTTATGTAATTTCACGTCGCCCCAAGTCATATCGCGATGCTCTTTACAGCCACGTAATCCAAAGTGTATTGTATTGTTGAACCAAAGAGTGTTCAGTAAAGCATCGGGACTGGATGTGCCCAGCAAGTTTTTTTCATACAAAACAGCTATGTCCACTGCAAAAAATCAATTTCTTGTTTTAAGAAAATATTACTTATTTTAAGCACAAAATTACTTGTTTTAAGAAAATTTTACTTGTCCCGTGGGTAAGTAAAATATTCTAGGTAAGAATCAGATTTCAAGAAAATTTTTCTTAAAATAAGAAAATTAATCTTGGTTAGAACAAAATTCTTGGTTAGAACAAAATTCTTGGTAAGAAAATTTTTCTAATTTTGTCCCGTGGGTAAGTAAAATTTTCTTATCAAGAATATTTTTCTTATTTCAAGAAAACGTTCTAGCAAAATTTTCTTATTTCTAGAAAAAAATTCTTAGTTTCCCAAGAATTATTTTCTAGTAATAAGAAAATTTTGCTAGAACGTTTTCTTGAAATAAGAAAAATAATCTTAATAAGAAAATTTTACTTACCCATGGGACAAAATTAGAAAAATTATCTTGAATTGAAATCCTGCTAAGAAAATTATTCTAGTTCGATCCGGTGTGCATGGCTTTTAAGAATATTTTTCTTAAATGACAATATGAAATTAGAATAATAATCTTGGCATGATTTTTTGCTGTTGTCATCCTACAATATAAAAACAATTAAGAATGTTTAAAATAATATATTTACCAGCTATACATGAATAGGTTATTAAAGTAATTACTGATAGATAAATGTAAAAGTTCTCACACGTAGCAATATTGTTCAATTTCTTGAAAAGCCTTTACCATGTCAGACTGCTGAGTCTGGATGGGTAGTCTAAGTCGAGCAGGTACAGTAGAACAACGCCAGGAAGTAAAGATGGCTTTTACAGTTTCGCTATTCTCGAATGTTGCCAATAGCTCCATGTCATGATCAGCCCTGATACAGTATGTCATTGGGTCTCATTTGCAGCCAGGTAGTCAAGTCTGTGTCTCCTTCCTTTTGAGGAAAAAAAAACACAAAAATAGTTTTGGTAACAACTACACAACCCTCATTAATTAACAGCTTATGTTTTCACTAACAAGCTCAGGGGTGGAAAAAATATTTTACTTTCTGGGACCGCAAAAAGTTCATTGAAAAATTTTCTGCAAATGATCAAGTAAATCGACACTCGGCCAATGTAACTGTGTGACACCTAATAAGTTGTCAAACTGGATGTCATGCTACATGTATATTTACAGAAAAAAAATATTTCAGTGCACTGAGAATCTTAAAATATAACATAAAGCTAATATAGATAACATGCATCAAGGGTCTGATCCTAAAGTAAATACAGATGCAAAATTGGCACTGGGGGGCACTATCAGGTGGATCCATGCTCTAGCTCCCAGAAAATTTTGAAATCAAGTGTCCCAGATTGGCTAAAAATGCATTTGCCATACAACAATTGTTACATCATTCTATAGTCTAATACATTTATACACTATCGCAAAACTATCGCACAATTAAGATGGTTGCACTTATAATTGCATTTCTGAGGTCATGGTGTTAATTTTCCTCTGAATTTCTCCTTTTATCTGAATTATTACAATTTTTTCTTTCTTGGGGAAATATTTTCTGGGAACTCAAAAAAATTTCTGGGACCAATAGTCCCGTGGTCCGATACTTTTTCCACCCCTGAGTGTGGCCCTGAACAAGCTATCCCCTGGGGTTATAGACAGAGCGAAACACTATGATGGATGGAACAAGAGACACTGGCAGTTTTTGTTAGCCCATATTAACTTTATCTCAACTATAGGAAAGCTCAAAACTAAGAAGATGTATATGTACAGTGTACACTAAATTTGATTCAGGCCTTACTAAATGAATTTTATAAAATGAAACTATAACCTCACCTCAACAAAGTTTATGATGTCCAGTTTGCTCTTAGCAGGTTGACTTTTTGATTTGAAGAGTGAATTAAATGTTCTTCATTAGGTGAAGTACTTTCTGTAGAATTACACACATAAAAAATAATATTAATTAAGTTACCGGTACATTTTTAATAAAAGCATTGTGATATTTTGAGAGCTAAAAAATGCAATTTTGATTTTTCATATCATTTATTAGTTACCGGTACAGCATAAACCAAAATGCAATTTTCATTTATTATTTTCTATTAACGACACCTAATGTTGGTGCTAAATTTTCAGGGGTGGAAAAAATATTTTACTTTCTGGGACCGCAAGAGAACATTGAACATTTTCTGTAAATAGTCAAGTAAATGGACATTTGGACACTGTAATTGTGTGACACTAACAAGTTGTGAAACTGGATGTCATGCTATATTTCACAGGAAAAAATATTTCACTGGAAATAATATTTCACTCAGAATCTTAAAATATAACATAAAACTGACATGCATCAAGGGTCTGATCCTAAGGGTAAATACATATACCAAAAAAGCTAGGGCACTTTTAGGGGACACTATCAGGGAGATCATGCATGCTCCCCCCAAAATGTTTGTCCCAGATCAACTAAAAATGCATTTGCCATGCAACATTTTTTACATCGTTCTATAGTCTAATACATTTATACACTATCGCACTATTAAGATGGTTACACTTATAATTGCATTTCTGAGGTTATGGTGTGAATTTTCCTCTGAATTTCTCTTTTTATTTGAATTATTACAATTTTTCTTTCTTGGGAAAATATTTTCTGGGAACTCAAAAAATTTTCTGGGACCAATGGTCCCGTGGTCTGATACTTTTTCCACCCCTGGTGCTAATGAATCCAATGTTGGTACCGGTACTCTAATTAATAAAAAAAACAAAATGATATCATTTAATTACCAGATCACTGTTCATGTGGTGGCTTCATAACTCCTTTTGAAATGCCATGATAGTAAATAAGTGGGTCCAATTGGTCAATCAGCGGCTGCTTTTCACAATTCCTCATGTATGCGCTTTCTTCTGCTTCTTCGGGTTGATTGAGGCTCCTCCGATCTTCTTCAACAACCTGCAGACATATTGATGAGTGATAATGTAAATTTTTTGAAAATAACCGCATACCTTATTCCAGAGTTTTTATAACCATGATACTGTAGCTCATATATACCTCACTCAGTAGTCAGTGGTATAACTTTACTTTTTTGACCATTTGTCATCAGGGCAAGTTCAACTTGCCAAGTTGGATATGAAAATTAGTTGCCGTGAATAAAATTCACTTGCCATGAGACAATGGCCACTGGGGTACCCAGGTAGGGACTATAAATTAAGGGGACAACATGTCGACACATTCTTCCACTGCTCTAGATGGCTATGTTATACTGCTTCAGACCTGGCTGTGGCCCACAGAAAAACAAAATTTGAATCCATGCACAAGTACAACATGCACTGCATAAAAAATTTATCTGGCAATGAAAACATAAACTTGATGCCCAGGCTTTTTGTGACAATGATATTCACATGCCCCGGGCAAGTGTTAAATTACAACTGTGTTACTTATTGAAAGCACAATGATATAACTTGGCATCCTTAACCAATTAACCACCATCACTCTCCCACTCACAAATAAAATTGTCTGGCATTAGACAGGAATACAATAAAGGGTGCGATGCAACTTCATTTAAAATTTGACATTTTGACTGTGGGACCATGATTTCTCGGACTCAAATTGACCATAATGACTCAAATTTTCCCATGAAAGGAAATAAGTAATTTATTTGTCTTGTAATCATAAATCTATTATGTAGGATAGAGTTTATAACATGAGAAAGAATTTTTGCAGCAAAATCCATTAGATTGGTATAAAATGTAACGGCGATGGTGTTGGTATTTGTGATTTAATATGCTATTGCCTCATATTCCAGAAAACATTCATATGGTTATGATTTAACCTCAGTTGTATGTGAGATAAGTGCTACTTGATGAAAAGTTCGACGTTTGACCCGGGCCTGAGTCATACATGTATCAAAATCTAATCAGTATACAGGGTGTCTAAAAAACGCTATATGGAAATTCAACTTTTACATAGGACGAAAGAGCTGTTATTTAGCTTTTCAATGATACCTTTTTTATATGTATATCTTTTTCGAAGTGGGATATACAAGGGCAAATTGACCTTCTTTAAATTCGTACTTGCTCTATTTTTCACTCCATAAAAACTACTTTTATCCATGGAGAAACTATTTAACTTTAAAAATAAGCTGGAATTATGGAGGTGATATAGGCTAGTTTCTTTGCAAACAATGATTCAGTACTCGGTAGTGTACTTGTTGTATATGAAGAAAAGTCTAAAATGATTTCAACATCCATCAACAAAAAGGAATCGCGCTTATTACTACTCATTAGAAGATAGACAATTAATTTAATTCACTAGGAACCCGTTCTACAATATAAACTAGAAATCGGCCAACAAATTGTCACGAAATACTACAATTAAAATAGGGTCTCTGAACTACCGATTTCACCGAACGGTCAAGTTTCTCTGCAAAAATCGACCCTTTGCCCAATTTTCATCGAGTAGATCATCATGTAATCAAGTCAAGGATTATGTATACTTTAACATAAAAGAATAAAAAAACTGGTGATAAAGGGTAGATTTTGAATAAAATACGAATATCTGTACACAAGATCTGAGCGTTATTATGAAACACTCGATACTTTTTCCAACAACATATTGCGCTTAATTTTTTACAAAATTAAGAATATTCACACAAGATATGAAAGATATGAAAATGTAGTTTGCATTACAAAGAAATGTTGGCTTAAGTCTTGCGCACACGATGCGATTTTAGTCGGCCGATAAAAATCGTTTGACTAAAACTATCAAAATCGTTGTACGTGCGGTGTCATTTTTAACCGATTTTTGTTGCTCGATTTTAATCGGACAACATCAAAACGTTTTGAGATTATTATTTGGCCAACAATGTTAGCTGCAAGTAATCGAATATCTGTGCAGAATAAATTATTGGCTGTCCACAAGAAATTAGGGCCCAAATAGTGCCCTTTTTTTAAAAATGGCTGCCGCCACGTACCGTTTGACGTTGCTTCCAGCGTCCCTGCGAATGTATGAGAACGTACGTTCCAATATGGAAGAAAAAGCTAACTTTCTTCATTCGAACCTTCATCTATATTCGAGATATATCTAAATGTATACGTCAATCTCTTTCCCGCACTCACGCAGCATAGCAGCTACAAAATAAGAATTAATGAATTAACTTGAATCATTCTTTTAATTTAGTAATAAACTGAAGTTACAGATTGGATCTCGACTCGACTATATTATTTGATGATTCTCAGATGAGCTGCTTTTCAACTAGTCGCAGTCTGGGAAAAAATGAAGGACCTGATCAAGGTCGAAAACATGTGGATGCAGATGAAGATGAAGATGAGTCCAAGACGTACAGGGAGAGAATGCGAAGAAAGCATGAAATTGTTTTCCTGCCATCTCTTAACGCATTGATTGCACTTGTGAGAAATAGGGACAGACATTGTGAGGTGGATGAAATAAAGAAAGATGACCTAAAACTTTTGGATCGTGTTAGATATTTTAGATGTCTTAAATCTTTATATTCAAACGTCAATTTCAGTGTAGACACGAAGAAGGGAAAGGTACACCTCAAAGGACGAGGCAAGTCGTTTGAAAACGCATTTGATAAGTGCTCTAAACAACTGCATGAAATGAATGTTGTCGAGAAGAGTTTGCCCTTGAAGTTGGACGAGAGGTGGAAATGGGATATCGTAGCAAATGTGCATTGTCAACAATATTTTGAAGAAACCATGACGTCAAACGATATGATGGCCGAGGTATGTATTGTATTATAAAGTTAGCTAAACGTTCGGATTCAGCCAGTATAATGGCTCTCCTCAGTTTTCAAGTTCATACAAATCAAAATTCCGAAGCATGGATTCTTGGTTGTTGGTTTTACCATTGCACTCATAAACATTCTTAATTTGTATACTGTCCATAATTTTATAAATTATATATATATATATATATATATATATATATATATATATATATATATATATATATATATATATATATATATATATATATATATATATATATGGTGAACAGTAATGATTTAATAGACTAATTTATCATAACTTAACTGGAAGATATTTTTATTATCATGAGTCAAAAATATAAAATCTTGATGATAAATATTACTAGAAATACATGCATGCAGAAACCCTAGCTTTTGCCTTACTGACAAAAATATTATATTTGAAGTATTTAAAGTAGTTGTCATGGTAACACGATAATTTTATTAAGATTGTAAAAATATCAAAAAATATCACTTTTAATCACAAAATTATCAATTTCTCAAACATATATTTTAGGTATATTATTATACGCTACTATATATATACGTAATATAACCTTCAATTTAATGCAAAGTTGAACCACAAACGCTTCGTAAAACGTTTTAAAATGTTCTTAAAACTAAACTGCCTTTTATCGATACACTTTGAGTTTGAAATAAAATGATTTCAAATTCTGGAATGAAAATAACTTTCCTTTCCTCTTTATTTAAATATTTTAATATAATAAAAAAGGGTAATTAATAAAAATACACTGATTGAAATTATATGCTATCTTTTTTCATTACACGAAACGACCAGTTAGTTTTAAAAGCAATTACTAGAAATACATGCAAGCAACAACCCCTCGCCCACATTTCCCAAACATAGTTTGAACATGAAGTATTCTAATTTCATTAACATGGTACGCAGGTTCGCGTTGCTCGTGTCATGCATGTTAGCCATGGCAACACGATAACTGTTTTCTTAATTTTTTGTTCAAAACGGCAAAAATAAATGAATGTTAAACACTTTTAACCACATAGCTATCGATTTCTAAAATATATAAAGGTGGTATGTTATTTTGCTTTCTATATAGGCCTTATTATAACGTAAAATTCAACACGAAACGCTTCGTAAAACGTTTTTAATGTTTATTGAAATTAACTGCTTTTGCCGATAAACTCAATCAACTTTATTGATACTCGTACTTTGAAATGAAATAAATTTAAGTCATACAGGTCGCTCTTTAAAATAATTTTCTCTTTTTTGGGCTTTTATAAAATAAATTAAAACAAGCCAATTCAAAGAAACTTTCACATAGAATGAATAAGAAAGCTGTACATGTCCAAGGCCTTCAGTTCAGGCGTTGAAAAAGGTGATTAAATTTTACTTTTTGTATGAAAGTCCAAGCTTTCTGTCATGCATGTTTTTTTCAATCTTTGCTTCAAAAGTTCCTTCACTCCTGGCAATCAGCTATACTTCTAAGATCAGTGAGATAACCACCCATGCATAGCCATGCGCCCACGATCATTGATGAACTTTACACACGTAAAAACGCACAAGTTGTAACAAACATGTAGCAGACTTGTAGCAATGCTGTTCCAACAACTTGTCAACAAGATGTGTTCGCACTGCTTGTTCCCAGCTTGTTGACAAGTTGTCAACGGCTTGTTGGCAACTTGCATGCTACAAGGTTGTTGAGCTCAACAGACTTGCTACAAGTTGTTCCAACAACTTGTTGTCGTCCTGCAATTCAACAACTTGTCAACAAGTTGCGAGTGACAACCTTGTAGCAACTTGACAAAATAACAACATTGTTACAACTAGTTGACAAGCTTGCAACAAAGCCTGTTGCGAACACATCTTGTTGACAAGTTGTGAGATTTTTACTTGTGTAGACTTCGCTAGAACAAAGGTGACTTCCGTCTACGCATGCGCCATTCTCGTACCCAGAGCCCATCTTGCGCGCGGTGCGACGAGGGACTCTGGCCAAATCCATAACCGGATACCACAAAAACATGGTAAGAAAACAATGTCCGGTGTTAGAACTAGCCAATCAGATGCCAGTTCGGAATATGGATTTGGCCAGAGCCCCTCGTCGCACCGCGCGTAAGAAGGGCTCTGGGTACGAAAATGCGCATGCGCGAGAAACGTAAGCGTGAGTGCACGCGAGCGCGGGTTGATCGTGTGACTGAATTCTAAAAACAAACACCAAATTTACCAAAACTACTCGTGTTATGAAGTCGTTTTCTTGTTTTTTTGGTGTTTCTATGCTCACAATTTTAGGCATTTTCGACTTAGAAGTGTTTGCTTTGGAATAAGAACGTGAAAATAGAAATAAAAACTTTGTTGCAGCAGTTTAATTTCGCCGTACAAATATACCTGTTTTATATGCAATATCGTAGTGATTTCAACATCCATCAACAAAAAGGAATCGCGCTTATTACTACTCGTTAGAAGATAGACAATTACTGTTTAATTCATTAGGAAGCCGTTCTACAATATAAACTAGAAATCGGCCAACACATTGTCACGAAATACTACAATTAAAATAGGGTCTCAAAACTACCGATTTCACCGAACGGTCAGGTTTCTCTGCAAAGATCACCCCTTTGCCCAATTTTCATAGAGTAGATCTTAGTGTTATCAAGTCAAGAATTATGTATACTTTAACATAAAAGAATAAAAAAAGTGGTGATAAAGGGTAGATTTTGAATAAAATACGAATATCTGTATACAAGATCTGAGCGTTATTATGAAGCACTCGATACTTTTTCCAACAACATACTGGGCTTAACTTTTTACAAAATTAAAAATATTCACACATTAGAAGATATGAAAATGTAGCTTGCATTACAAAGAAATGTTGGCTTACCTAAGTTATACCTTACACGTCGATTAAAGTCAAGTAAAGCCCTTTCAAAGACGCGTGCCACATTAAACTACAGGTCACATGGCGGTAGAGAACTCGACGAAGTATTCATGATATGTCATAGCCAGTTTAACGCCGCTGTGTACTATTCCTGTGTATTATGATGCCCAACATACCGGGTAACAAAATTTACCACTTTGTTCGGCTGTTCCAAGTACACTTTTAAGATACAAGGTCCGATTATATCATGTTCTTCGAAGCATCTGCTCAAAACAGGCCAACATAAATATCGCCACTCATCCTCTTCGTGTGAAAATATAAGTTTTCCCTTCAATTTCTTTGCTTTAAAAACAGTCATTAGGTTGTTGAAGAGTTAGTCTATAACTTCCAACAAAAAATGCTTTCAAAAACCAGTGAATCACAATGCTGTAAACTTCAGAATCCTTAGAAATTGTAAGCAAAACATCGAAAAGCAAAATTCGCGGGAAAAAGCTCACGAGCCCGCACTATTTTCATGCAGCGTCGACGAAAGTCCCCTCTGTTTTTCGCTAGCTCTTCGCTAGTGCCTCCCTTTCCCCGGGTGAAAATAGCCGAGCGGAATTTGTACCCTCGCCACGGACTTCGCCCTCGGGGATAAAGCAAACATGACACTACTGTTAAGTTGTGCTCTTATGTATGACGTAGTCTATGTTATTAGTTGATATATTAAGTTACATATAGATAGAGAGCAAAAGACTCATTACCATATTTGGTGATTATCTAACCAATCACAGTAATGCGTTACTTATGTAAATAGTGTATATTCATTGTAGAAGTGTTAGTTGTATTCTGTTCGTCAAGTAAAATAAAGCTATAAGAAACTTATGTGAAACAAATTGAATATAATAAAGAATGGCAACCGCGACAAACCCAACAAATACAACAATATTTAAAACAACCGTCTTTTAGCAAGTTTTTTCCTCAAAAAAGCTTTTGAAATTTACAAAATCTTGCAAAAATGAAATATATTTGAAAGAAATGTTTCTTATTAATTTCGCTGTCCTCATGCAGTCGTTACAATGCAAATTTTAAATTTTGATCAATCAGTGTTCGCTACTCATGACAGTCCACTATGTTTTGAGATCAGTGAGGATGACCACCCACCAAACGGCAAACGGTGAGCTATAGCCATGCGCTCGCGATTATTGATGAACTTTAGACTTCGCTAATGCTTTCCTTTCCCCAGGTGTAAATAGCCAGGCGGAATTAGTACCCTCGCCCCGGGCTTACGCCCAGAACGGCGCTCCGCGCAGTTGGCTCGGGGATTAATCAAGTTATTACATGATTTATAGATAATGGCTGGTAATTCTGACGATCTTATTATTGTGACTGCCTTAAACGAGATCGAATTGCAAAAAGCAAGAAAACTCTTGGATGAATCGCTTATCCAAGACGTTGTGCCTATACCAAATGGTGCTGATACTTCTTTTGAAAGTTCTCACTTTCGAAATTTTAAAAAGGAACAAGAGAAGAATAAACCTCTAAAGATTTTCTTCCAACAACTTGATGATAAAGAAACGGCAAGCATTCAATTGGTTGGTGTTAAGGATGTTGTCGTAGAAGCAAAGAAAGCGACTGAAAATTGTATTGAATTTCAGCGTGAAAGAGACTATGAGCTAACTTGGAAACATTCGGAAGATAAATTCAAATTTTTGCAAACGTATTTTTCAGAATTAGTTAAGCCTATAGAAGATCGTTGCCAAGTACGCGTAGAATTAGAACATGGACCACAAACATGTAAGATTCGTTGGAAAGGACTCCCAGAGACGTCTACTAAATGCAAAACATCTTTAGAAGATTTAGGAAAAAGTATTTTACAAAAAGACGAGTTAATTGAATTACCCGGAGTGAAACAGCTCTTTAAACGAAAAGATGGTGAAAAACAATTAAAATTAATCCAGGAAGCCAAAACGGTTTCTATCCGCAGAAATGGATCCAGACAGACAATTTTTTCAGACTCTGCTGCACAACTTGGTCCACTAGAACAGCGTTTCGAAGAAGGTCCGAGTCCCGTAAAAGCTGTCACGGTTCCAGAAAGGAGTTCAGGAAACGTTACTATTTCTCTAAAACATGGACGTATTGAGGATGAACGGGTAGGTTTAACTTTTAATGAAATACTTTAACTTTTATTGATGGTCTATTTAACCTTGATCATTATGTATTAATTCTCCTGATAGTGGTATTAAACCAGAGCCACGCTCCTCCCATACAGTTGTAGCGTACATTATTAAACACTGCACAAAAAGAACGTTCACCCCTAAATATATCATCATAAGTTCTAAATAATTTATTACCTGATAATCAAAGCACTAATTAGACCTATGGTAGTTTGCCTGTGGTAGTTTGCCTAAGTGAAGAATGGGGTCATTCATACTTTAAAGAATGACTTACGCCGTATTCTAAAAGCTCACTCACACTCAATGAGTGGAAGTTCAATCTGATCTTCTCTCGAGTGTCATTGCTGTTTTTGAATAGCTGGAGAGTTAGTGTCGTACCTTTCTTAGCCAGGTCTTTCTCAGGCTTGCCCGATTTTAGGGACCGCCTGCATGCAGGCTATACCTTACTATGTGACTACTCACTCTCCAGCTATTCAACAACAGCATTGACACTCAAGAGAAACTCATATTGAACTTCCACTCATTGAGTGTGAGTGTGCTTTTAGAATACAGGCGATAGCCTCCATTGAATACAAAAATAGGTACCCATGCATTCAATCTCAAAATTAACAAGAATGACTTTATTTATATTTCACAACAACAGTAATGTTTATTATTAGGGGAGTAGCGTAAATTCGTTGGGTAATGACTACCGTGGACTTCATAGATATTATCAATCTCGAAACCAGAGCCCGCAATCCTCTGTGGTGGCTTGCTGAGGCTCTGGGAAACACCGGTGAAAGTCGGGCTCTGATTGGTTGCTTTTCAACATCCTCGTCCTCAGGCCCAAGCGGCCCTCAAAGTTTTTCAAGTATTTAGTTATTCGGATTTAGTTATCCGTATTTAGTTATTCGGATTTCAAACATCGTTTAAAATTAATATAAAGTTTATTTCTCTTTGTGTATTATGAATTAACACTCAGCATAACATTAATAAACTTATTAAGCTTTCCTAGCTTCTCATATGAAATCAAAAGACTATTCTATTTCTGATATTGATATGCTATAAATAACAAAATTAGAATAACAACAGTGCAGCATTACCATATTAGGTCATGATAAGACGTTGCCTATAATATTTAAAATAACACAACAATCCATGATTTACCGTAATTAAACAAGTTAAAATAAATCACTACCAGTATCTTACAACAATTCAAAACCATGGCAAGTGTTCTTTGAAGAATTAAAGCCGTAATAAGCTTAAACAACGGCATAATTCATGTTTGACGGCAGTACGGTAATGTCTATTTATAATTGTCGAGCGCAGTACTGGATCCAAATGTACTGATTTTCGTGCAAAAGTCGCCGGTGTTTCCCAGAGCCTCAGCAAGCCTCCACAGAGGATTGCGGGCTCTGGTTTCGAGATTGATATATTAAGAATATGAATATAATTATTATGATATTTTTCTGTGTTGGTGTTATGTACTCAGGTGAATATGATGTTTGTGGTGTTACTCTGAGTGTATATCTGCACCGGGCAAGCTTGAAAAAAATGCCTGCCCACGGTGGGAATCGAACCTACGACCTTTGGAGTAATAGCCCAATGCTCTGCCAACTGAGCTACACGGTTAGGGCTAGTACTCCAAAGGTCGTAGGTTCGATTCCCACCGGGGGATGGCATATTTTTCAAGCTTGCCCGGTGTGGATATACACTCAGAGTAACACTACAAACATCATATTCACCTGAGTATATAACACCAACACAGAAAAAAATCATGATTACTAGATTGCATTGATATATATCGAAGGAATTAGACTCAGTCCGAAATATCACTTACTCGATCCGACCTGACCGCGTAGCTCAGTTGGCAGAGTATTGGGCTAGTACTCCAAACGTCGTAGGTTCGATTCCCACCGTGGGCAGGCATATTTTTCAAGCTTGCCCGGTGTGGATATACACTCATATGTATATTATAAATATTCTCACAAACTTGCGGTTAACTGACTAGCAAGCCTGCCTTAATGTAATTCGAGATCGCTCTGGTTGACCGAGGTAGAGCCAAAACAACAAGCTCATATTTATCCCTATGTTTTTGTTAATTTAGGCTGCGGTCTTGGCTTACTCTGCTATGCCAAATCTCAATGACAACACTGTTTGTGGTCAAGGTCTTAAACTAGCAGGAGGAACGACGTACATCGAAGCCTGTAAGCGCCACACTAATATATCTCCTGGAGACATTGTTTGCACAGTTGGTGGTAATCTTGCCTGTCAATATGTTCTTCATGTTGTTGGCTGTGATTGGAAAGATAACAAGAAAAACAATGAAAGGGTATGTTTAAATTATTTTGGAGCTACTTAACATGAATATAGGGGTACTCTTTGATACTGCCCATTGTTTTTTAATGTCCAGTTCTACACAAAATATGCGGTTATAAACTCATTTGTGCAGTTCTTAAAAAACCAAGTTGACGAAAATAGAAAATATAACCTTAAGATGGCTCCCTACAGTTGTTTCACCATGAGACTGGGAACGAAATTACGTGATCTTATCGAGTTGAGTAGTACTAGTCATTTATTTTAATATTCTCAATTTTTCAAAAACTCATTAATAATTCAGGAGCAAAACACAAAGAAAAATCACAAGCGTGTCGTGGTTTTATATGTGATAAAAAATCACGTTAATTTACATAAACTTTAGCTTTGATTTTCTCGGTTTAGACAAAGTTTATTTTAAAAATTACTTCGCCAATGAACTCGTATAAGATGAGTCGTTTTTGAAGCTATTTAAAGCACTTGTAGTCGTGTTTTATCACATATAAAACACTCCGCTACGCGTCGTGTTTTATATGTGATAAAACACTCCTACGCGTGTTTTAAATAGTACATAAAACAGTTTTTGTGGAACAAATTTCGCATAATATCTCAAAAACTAAATATAATAAATAATAAAAAAACATTTCTGGCGGAAAATCCCCAAACCCCCTATCTAATGGCGATGGAAAGGAGGGTCAATTTTTGGCAATCTACACTGGCAGCCTAGCCAACATTCACGATCATACTCCTAGTTAATTTGTTCTTAGTGTTATGTTGTTGTTTTTCTAATATAAAGAGAACAACGTAACAAATCCTTTATTAGTCCTTCGCGCGTTACAAGAAGATACTTCCAGTCAATTCCAGGAAGGCACACAATTGAAAGGTAGCCATCATCTCGTTCCCAAAAAATCTTGGTTGTTTTGAGAATCGTAGTGTTTTCCAACCTTTGAAATGTGTGATTTCCTGGAAATTTCTTCTTCTAACGCCCAAACGAGTGAAACGACTATTATATTTGTACGTCGGGTCAAAAAGTCTAAGTCGGGCCAAAGAGTCTGAGTCGGACCAAAAACATATTTATGCCCGCGAACATCTTAATTCTGTTGTTATATTAATTGGGGATTTTGTGAACTATATCAATTAAATAGCGTTAATTTCTCTGTATTTCGATAGATAGATACGTAGAATTACTATATCAATACCTTTTTTCTAGGTTGTCAGACACCTGATAAATAAATGTATCATGAAATGCATCGATCTTCGCGTTGACTCACTGGCCATTTCATCTTTCGGGGCAAACCAACATGGCTACACGGCGGAAGAGGTTTTTGAAATAGTAATAGAGGAGGTCGAACGAGTATATGTAAGCAACCCAGTCCAATGTTCGCTTGAACATGTTCAAGTAGTTTATCTCAAACGAAAGCGTTTAGGTCGGTGGCATAGCATGACCTTTCTTGCGCATAGCAGATCGTCCTTTCGTGCGCGCAGCAGATCATCCTTTCGTATGCGTAGCAGATCATCCTTTCGTGAACAGCCACACGCCACACTGTCGCAGGCAGCAGCAGTAACACCAACAAGAAGAGAAATGTCTTGTACCAGCAAGTTTGGATTGGTTAGCGTGGTTCTCAAGGAAGGAGAGGTAACAACATATGACGCTGATGCTATAATTAATATTTTACCAAATCATCTTCAACGTTCCAGGTATAACAATGTGTGCGAAACCATTATTCAAGCAGGTGGTCAAAGCGTGCAAGATGAAGTGAACCGACATACCAGAAGCAAACATCTCCATTCCATATTTAAAACTCCTGCTGGTTCTATTGAGAATGTAAAGGAAATTTTACATGTAATTCCTGGATTACCTAATGAACCAGGTCTGCGGTCGTCTTTAGAGCAATGCTTCGACTTCGTTAAAGCCCTCTCTTTTGGCAATGTCCTATTTCCAGTCGCAGAAATCATGTCCTTAGACGTATCTCTGAGCTGTTTAGTACAACTCATTCTTGATACTGCTAAGAATTTTAGTATTGATGATTTAGTCACTTTGGAGATTGCTGTTCTTGTTGCACAAAGAGGTGAATTTGATGTTTTAAAGTCGCTTTTTGAAGAACAAAGTGTAGCAACACGATCCACAAGTCTGATCAGTGCTGATCATGTTCCCGACGCAAGTGATCTCCATGATGTTCGCGGTGTATCCATTGTAGCGTCTCATGTCAATGAAGACGAAGTCTTTCTCAGCCAAGAAGTAGAATCCGCCTCGGTTGGATCACCCAATGACGGCCCAGATGGCATTAGTAACCATCGTGAAGAATCCCAGATCAACATACCTGCAAATGAGGGACACGAGGATAAAATCCTGCTGCGTTTTGTTGGGTTTCGTTCAGCTGTCAATGATTCCATATCAGAAGTAATGGACTTCGTTGATCGTAACAAAGCGAAACAGAGTATTCATGTTTTGAAAGGGTGTTTCAAGTTTCTTCGAAAGCATAGGAAGGACTTAGAAAATTTAGCCTCTATATACCATGTTGTGATAAATTTGCGATCCCAGGAAATAACAGTTGAAGGAGTTAAGGATAACGTGTTCGAATGCCATAAGAAAATAACGGATCTGTTGAATAAGTATGCAAAGATTGAAGAGGAAATAAAACGACAACTTGAAGAGTCTGATAAGGAGAAAAAACTAGACGATGACAAAGTTCGCAACGATGTCGACAGCAGTGATAATCTCACGAATATTTCTAAAGATCGTGTCTATTCAGGTGAGAAATTTTAGATAGAACAGACGCTTAGCAGGAATGCTTAGCAGCATTCTAATGTATATATCATTTAGCCACAAACGTACACGAATCAACAAGTTGACCAATATGAGAAAACGTATTTCCTTGACGTTGAAACTGGGTGCAATATTAGACAGTGACATATATTCCTTATTCAGATTTTCCCACCTAGTCAACCAGCCTAATATTTTGCCATTTATCCTGTCAAAGAATGCTAACAGTTATAGATCTTTCTGAGTGCAGTGAGTATAACTCATGTAGGTTAATTCTGTCAATACACAATTGTATACATTGGAGCATCATAAAATATTGTAGTACCTTGTGTCATGGTTGAAGAGAATCACTATTGAAATAAGATATGAACATACCAATGAGTAGTAATAAAAGCATTCTCATGATCAAATGACCATACCTCATTCATCATATTAAGCATTTCAATTTGTTCCTTATCCGTCATATTTTGTAGAATCGTCCTCTTCTTGGTCATGGGAAGAGAAGTCTAAAGCTCATCGAGAAAGGTTTCAGAAGTTTCTTGAATACGGGCAAGAACATCCAGAAGAAATCAAGGAAATAAACGGAGTCCGCTTTTGTTGCTCAGGAGAAGAATTTTGTATTGGTCGTGGCAGCGATGGCACTAGGGTCTATATCGGTCTAGGAAAGGACGGATGCGAGAAGGCCGTAAAACGTTTACACAAAGACGAGTGTGGGTCCTTAGCTAAGCAGGAAAAACAGATTTTAAATGAATCAAACACTGCAGCATCGAAACACACCGTTAAATACTGGTACTATGATGACGAAAGTGATAAAGAGTTTGCGTATTTAATATTGGATTTGTGCGAGGAAACGTTGGAAGAGTACGTGGAACGAAACAGCCGGGAAGAGTTGTTGGCAATCGCCCCCGATATCATTTGTCAAATTTTAAAGGGAGTAAGTGATCTACACCAAAAGCCAACGACAATTCTACACAGAGATTTAAAACCGTCTAACATAATGCGAACCATGCAGGATAGATGGTTGTTGGCAGATTTTGGAATTAGTCGAACATTGCCGCCCGACAAGGACACGCTCGTAAGCAAGCCAAGGGGAAATGAGCATTGGAGGGCTGTAGAATCCTATTCGTCGGAAGAATCATTGCATGAAAGTCGTGCCCGATACAAAAAGGAGTCTGATATTCAAACAGTTGGAATGGTTGCGTATTTCATTGTGAGCAAAGGTGAACATGCGTTTGGATCCGAGGGCTATCGAGTTATCAACCTACTGACTGGAAATCCCGTTGGACTGAACAACATCAAGGATCCAGCTTTGAAAGATCTGTTAGGTTGGATGCTTAGTCACAGTCCTAAAGAACGACCGGCTGCTAAAGAAGCAAGGAAGCATCCTTATCTGCAACCTACTCACGAAAAATTTGAATTACTGTGCACTATGGGTAATCTACACGAGATCAAGACGGGAGATTCTACCTGCAACGTCACACGGCAAATAAATAGTGATTCAAAAGATTGGAGATCGTTTATGGATGCCGCTGTATATCAGTATCTATGTATTGATCCAAAGAAACCAACACCAAATAGGTACAGCTGTAAATGGACAGATTGTTTGCGATTTATCAGGAACGCCAATCAACATTGGAATGATCCCAAATCAATTCCCCGACCCAAGTCGATTGAACTAGGAGAACCTCAAGATTACTTCCTTAAAATCTTCCCGACTTTTCCTGTTACTGTTCACAGGATCTTAAGATCATGTGTTTGGAAAGAACGAGAAGAATTTAAAAGGTTTTTCACTTAAGGTACGCTGGCTAGGCATTTTTGTTTGTTAATTGTATAAAATAAGTAAGTTAACTAGGTCGATGGTGATAAGGAGGAATGACTGCGGCGATGGATCTGGATGGCCCTGGATAGGGTGACAATTTTAATAAAAACTTCTGAGAAGCGCTTCTCTTGAAACGTCTGTAATTACTGAATCCAAATTTCATATTTTTCAGGTTACAGAGAACCTACAGTATGCCGAGTGACTAATGACAATGCGTTTATATACACACTACGAACAGCCCGAAAGAAGACAAGAAAACTCACTAAACAAGACAATCGTAAGGTCAAGTGTTTTATGGAAAGTGATCGAAGTACTTAAGGCCAATACAGGATGTATAAAAAAAGAAGATAATTCAACTTTGTCATGTTATCGTGAGTTATATATACGTTCAACTATTTTCTTTTCCCATACCAATAAAGATCAGGCTTTTAGCTCTCGGGTGATACCTTTCTTGGATCATTGGCATTGCGATCAATAAATAGCCGATCGAAATCGCATTTTTCCACCGTTGAGAATTGCATGTAAAGCTATTGTATTGAAATTTCTCTCATTTGGGATTCAAATTTAAGTCATTAGCAAAATATAAAAAAACGAAAAGCTAACAATTAGCAAAATATAGAAAAATTCTGTAATACCATTTTTTTGGAAAATACAAAAATGTTGTACTCTTCGGTAAAATATTTTTGGCATCATAGAATATTTTTATTTTTTGTATAATGAAAGTTTTTAGCGGTGCAATACAGCATGCAAAATTTGAACATAGGTCACCAGAGAAAATAGAGAGATATGGCGCATTGTTTTTCTAAAATGGAAAATTCTAATGACGTCAGCAATTGACATGAAACGCTATAGAACACGCGCAATAACGTGGCATGGCGCAAGCAACTGCTTACGTCGGGTCATTTTGGAAGATTTTTAATTTCTTCAGTTTCGGCGACCTGGGCGTAAGAATGGTCACTCGGTTTTGTTCGCGATTCTTGAGCAGAGTTTTTGTGATAACTATATCGAACCACCTTACAGTTAAATTTCAGGTGTAACAAAGAAAGTACAAACGGTGTTTAAAAAGTCTTTAGTTGGTCTTAATTTTTGCCCTTAAATAATTTAAAGATGATGTCTGGCACTCCGTTCTGCGCATCAGTTCTGCTCATAACAAAGGGAAACCCCCAGATATAAACATTGCCCAAATTTTGTATCTTTCAAACTTTTTCGTACCTTTCGCTAAACATATAACTTCGGCCACGCTACAGGGGGGTAATGTGACTCGAATCGGTTTCCGACGTTTCCCGAGTGCTAGACAGCATTGGTTCGACAATCAGTTTGTATTTCCGGTCGAAGCTCTCACTAAAAATTTAGATATTCTGAAATACCGAAATCTGTAGATACAAGCTTGAAAATAACACTCTGAATAGTGTTTTGGATTCTGATTCGAACATGACTATTACAAAAAAGATATGTTGAAATGGACCAAAGTTCTGTTCGGCGAAAGGTTATGTACACTTATGCCTTAGTTGGTAAGACATTGACATTGTTTACATTGTTCGGGAAAATTGTGTGAAATATGGTATCGCTTAACTTCTAAAGATCGTAAATCGCTATAATGTTCATGTTAACATTTTACTAAAACCATGCATAGGAATTGTTTCACTGAATTGAACGGTGGTATTTTCATCCACATAGCATGCACTGAACCAAAGATATATGAACCTCCAAAGTAAACCGACGATATGATATGTCCATATCGATCTGCTTTAATTATGCGCAAGCGAAAGAGTATGCCAGAGCCTCTAACTACAAAATTTCATAAACCAACGACTCTTTCGTATGCCTTTAAATTAACTACAAAATTCCATAAATCAACGGCTCTTTCGCATGCCTTTAACTACAAAATTTCATAACTGACCAACGACTCTTTGGTATGCGCTTAATTGACTACAATATTTCGCATATGCGCAGACTAAAAACTGTCACACTAAACTTTTTTATGGTTTTCTACAAATTTCACGACTGCATCCACCATACACGCTGAATATTAATGGTGTGAACGAGGCATGCTATATCTGTATACACAGCGTTCACTTGATTGTATACACCCTTTTCATAAATGGCTGCCGATTAAAAATTCTTTTATGTGCATATAAATTGGCCCAACTAGCCTCGTACTCATGTTAAGATTTCAAAGGAATTTGTACCCAGCAGCGAGGCTAGTTGGGCCAATTTATATGCACATAAAAGAATTTTTAATCGGCAGCCATTTATGAAAAGGGTGTATTGCCGTGTTGTTTCTCCCGTAAAAAATTCATTAATTTTTTATCGATTCCCAGCAAGCCTTTCGCGCTCGTTTTCGACCTTTCCGCTTTGCTCGGGGGCAACCGCAATTGAAATAGCTGTATACTAAAGGTGATGCCAATGTAAAGTTTATTGGTAAATATCAGGATCTTGCGCATCTCAATCGTGGAAATCGGACTATAATCGCAGTGCCGCAGGTTCGATTCCTGCCAGAGAGTCTATAGTTGCATTTTTCTACAAACAAACAAATTTAACTATTCCCCGACGGACTAATCAAGTGTTTTGTTATATAGCGACGAAGAGATAGTAAAACAAATATGTAAAGAGCTAGTTGAGTGCATTTCCTGTTGCCTGTTGTTGAGTATTTTTTTCTCTAATAAACACAGCATTCTGTTGGTACTCATGAGTCGTAGACTGATAACATTGGGGAACTTAAAAGACATGTATATTCAGTATTATAGATATTTTATTTGAATGTACTAGTAATTTACTAATGTTTTATTAGTCCTATTTTTTAAGTTTAATTAACAAAGGGAATTTTATGTGAGTTTTCATTTAACAATAGAGATTTTAAGATCTACGACGGGGCAACTCAACGACGCGCCTTATTTGTGGTCACAGGGGTATGTGTCCTCAGTTTAAGTGTTTAAGTCCTATAAAAGAGCCGGTCACGCTGTATAAAGTTTGACTTCCGATACCAATACCGATATCGATATCTGCATGTCCGTTCTCATTTTGGTACCGGAAATTTTAAAGCATTAACTTATCACGACAGATAAAGTATAGATCACGTTGATCCTCACCGAAATGTGCGTTATACTAAACGGCAGCAGAGCTAAATTTCCGACTAAAACATGACTCAGGCGATGCTAATAGACAAATAGTTCACGTGGTTATCGTACAAATTATGAAATATCCCATTTATACGAGTTTATCTTATAATTTCCACGACTTCGAAAACAAGCCCGACTTCGGTAATGGCGACTTCCAACACACTTGTCCTCGTGTTTCTTGCCAGAAGAACGCATGCGCATGACCTGTTGTTAGTATCGGTATTGACATCGGAAGTCGAACTTAAACTCTCTAATATTAATGTTATCCTGAATACAACGTTAAGTTAAGCATTCATACGTCATGGGCACTTTGCAGCGACTTGCACGTTTATTCCGACGTTAGTGTGTTGCATAAAGTCAGCCTTATAGCACAGAATACTACACAGAACTCCATCTCCATTGTTTTTTGCGTAAGCTCTATTCGTCATGATTCGTCACTCAGCAAGTACCGTAAACAGAAGCAATCCCCCCTGGAAATACTAAAAATGGCGCACGTCCAGGGGGGTGACTGCTTCTGTTTACGGCACTTGCTGAGTGACGAATCATGACGAATAGAGCTTACGCAAAAAACAATGGAGATGGACTTCTGTGTAGTATTCTGTGCTTATAGCAAACATGACATCGTTTCTCCTGAACTTAGCTGTTCCTAACGTTATTTAAAAAAATTTAAGCATTTATATATTACAGTATAATCTCGTAATAATAGTAAATACAGTAATATAAGTATATAAGTACTTATAGCGCTCATTCTTGAGCCTAAATTGAGACAGCGTCACAGCGTCGTCGAGTTTTCCACATCGTAGAACTGAAACTCTCTAATATAGGTAAAGCCATAAAGGGATCCTCATATAGGTTAACCTCGGCATGGATCTACTCCAAAGGCCTTGTCATAGCTACTTTGGACACAGGAGGCTCAACTACTGTCAGTAACAAGTGTAAAATAATAGAGACCTTAAGATTGACGTATTTTTCGCAAACGTGTGACCGCTAACCGCTAGAAACCACGTGACCAGGAGCTCGCCGTCCCGTTACTTGCCGTAATCTCTCACGTTTTAAACCTCAAGAGTGCATTCTGCAGGTTGATAATTTACGGCATTTTATCAGCATTTTATTCAACTGTTATTACTTCGTTGCACGTATATGACACATATTAAGATAAATATACATCTTATCTTTGATTTGGATGGATCAAAGTTGTTTTTAACGGGACATTTTTCATATTCTTAGTGCTTTTAAATTAACCATGTGATTCGATATATAAACTTAACATGTCCAATTTACTCTCTGATTTACGTAGGTTAATTAGCCTTTCTCACGCCGCCATTTTTGGGGTACTGTAATTTTTCATAAACGATTATAACAATGTGAAAAGCAATATTTCAGAACAAACTAACTATTTACAGAGTAAATTTACCATCATATACACCCACAAAATTATAACATGTCGCCGTTACGTGGTGTTTCGTTCGCAGGATTGGCAAAAAAGTACCCCAAAATGGCGGCGTGAGAAAGGCTACTAAATTTCGATTGTTTCAATATTTTCGGGTTAGGGGAGAACGCTGATACGGACGGACGAATGACCTACTTTTTTCTAAAATATGTTTTAAACCCCAATGTTTAAACCCCAATTTTTACCCAATCGGGTAAAACGCGGAAATGGTGTAAAATTTACTATACGGGCCTTTAAATGGAATGCATATCCGTCTTTGAATGGCATATATCTTGCTTAGCTAATTGCTTACATAACCAGCAGGTATACGTATACATAACCGGCAACTGTGCAAGTTTATAAACCTCAATCAAGTGACTTTTTTCAATTATGCAAGTTAAGTGACCAAAACTATTTACAAATTGTATGCCATCACAAAGATCCACAAAACATTACCTCAGCTGCTCAAGGCGTGCTTGGCAAGTTTCCAAAGTAGTTTTTAAGTAAGCTAGATAATCTTCGAGTTAAGCCCTTCGAGTTAAATGGCCCCGACCATGCCCAAACCACTCCCATTTTCGTCGGGGGCTTAACTTGAAGAAAGAAACACAACTTGGAAAGTTCGATTTAAGCGCCGTGAAAAAGAGCCTGGGACTTAACTCGAAGTTATTGAAAATATTCGACGCTCGAGTTAAGCCCGGACATTTAAAGCATGCAAAATAGCAATGACTTGAGTCGTCCACAATCTACAGGTGTACCTGGAATAGTTATCATTTACGTCTTGGCCTAAATAAGGTGGAGCCTAAATCAGTCACGAACAACTCGTATAAACAGGCATTTTCATTATGTATATAACAGATTATTTCGAACTTTTTCTTTTATACCTCTGAGCTTAATACGAATAAATTAACATCTTACGCCAAATAAAGCCGCGATTTATCATCGCTGGAATAAACACTGGCGGCCCAATCTTACCCAGTGTTATTAATTAATTACGTTATATCTTTATATAATAGCATATTGAAAATCATTAGAAAATCCTGTTATTAATTTATTGCGTTATATCTTTATATAATAGTATATTGAAAATCACTTACATGCGTTTCCTGAAAGATTTTAACGAGAACCGACCAAGATTGGTGTTGACACGAGGTTAACGGCCATGGTTGGGGTTGACATGAGGGTTAACAGCAGGAAATAATAGAAGGCTGGTCACTTTGACCGTTAATTGGACTAATTGGGACAAATGCTGACAGAAATCAATCGAATAACGCAAACTTCGGCTGTCGCATCGTCGCCAAATTACGTTACATTGGAAGAGCGATAATTTTTACATAATACAGTCGAACCTCCCGTGTAAGCGGACACCCTCGGGACCACGACCTGGTGTCCGCTTACGAAAGGTGTCCTTTTATGAGAGGTTGGTTAATATTTAACTGATTCCGTAATTGTTGAAACATGATTCTTTTAATAATGATGTTAATATGACTATAATATTGACAGTTATTATTGCAAATTTACTCTAAAAACCCCACCATTGGCAATTGTTTAATCATCACGGGGATCAACAGAAACCAGCGGCTTATCTCATGTCAATGCTGTTAATGAAACTGTTGACGTTGTGGGTCATATACCCAAAAATATGGCGCCGTACGTAAGCAAATTTTTGAAACGTGCATCTAACTCTGCAAGTGTTACAGTAAAGGGAAAACGAATAAATCGCGGGGCTGGTTACGGACTTGAGATTCCGTGCGTTTATACGTTCCGGGGCGACCAATTTTCTCTGACTTGGTTGAGGAACAAAATACGTAAGACTGGACCTGCTTTGTTGGATGAGAAATTATAATGGTTCATGAAGAAAAAATTAACAGTAACGCTAAATCTTTAACAGAATTGAACAATATCTTCCTGCAGAAAATGCCGAATTGAAACTTACAAATGTCTAATGTTCCGAGGTTTGTGACCGGTATGAATTCATGGCCTTCAAATTCGAATTACACGCTGCATTGTCATTGGTCGGCTTAAATTTTTCCATTAATACTGTTTAATTGAATAATTAGAAATATGCTGTAAATATTAGGAATAAATAATATTAGTCTAAATTTGAACATTTTAATATGAACATTACCTTAGAAATATTATGTAAATTTTACTAGTAAGCTCGTTAATTCAGTTGTATAACTGCAAGAGAGTTTTAATAAACATCAATAATCAATAATAATCATTCGCTAATTCCCCAAACGTTCTCTCTCTTACCGGAAATATCCTGTTGTTGTTTTGAAAGCCGACCAATGACAATGCAGCGTGTAATTCGAATTTGAAGGCCATGAATTCATACCGGTCACAAACCTCGGAAGATTAGACATTTGTAAGTTTCAATTCGGCATTTTCTGCAGGAAGATATTGTTCAATTCTGTAATTGAAGAAAAGTATATTATGTAAAAATTATCGCTCTTCCGATGTAACGTAATTTGGCGACGATGCGACAGCCGAAGTTCGCGTTATTCGATTGATTTCTGTCAGCGTTTGTCCCAATTAGTCCAATTAACGGTCAAAGTTACCAGCCTTCTATTATGTCCTGCTGTTAAAGCTCATGTCAACCCCAACCATGGCCGCTAACCTCATGTAAACGCCAATCTTGGCCGGTTCTCGTTAAAATCTTTCAGGAAACACATGTAAGTGATTTTCTATATACTACTATATAACGATATAACGTAATAAATTAGTAACACAGGTTTTCTAATGATTTTCAATATACTATTACATAAAGATGTAACGTAATAAATTAATAACATGCACCGGGTAAGATTGGGCAGCCTGTGGAATAAATGGCTCTATTATGACCATTAGTTCGCAGTGAAGAGCGATGCAACCGCGCAAATCGAAAGGCAAATGGCATTAATTTGTTATATCCCAAGTTGATTTGATCAAATATCGATAATGTACTGAGTCTGAGTTAATGGGCCTAGCTATTGGCCTGACAAGAATTGAAGAATTGCCTTCTAACCGTATGCATACTATGCATCACGCCTGGATTAGTTAAAAACTACGCATGTATTCGAAAACAAGCTAGCGACCACGCGTACATACAGAGTAAAGTACAAAATACACATCGGAATAGTTTAAACACAGTAATGTTGGATTCACTTACTTAAATCCTTTCAATTTCTTTTCTTTCAAGAGCTTCCCAGACTTGGTTTGAAAGGCGTTAAGGCGGCATAGTTCAGATACGGGGCGCAAATAACGTTGCTGCACACATCTCGCAGTTAAAAACTAACGAATCATTTCTAAATGATTTTAAAAAGGATTCTAATTTGAAACGATCCATATTTTCAGCATGCATGCATGAAATTATTGAAAATATTAGTAAGTCTAAGATCCAACGGCAATATAAAAGAGTGACGCACTAAACGTAAAAATGCGTGGCATAAAATGTATATTATTTAAACATAAATATATATAATAAACAAGTCTCGCGATCTAATTGTTGCAACAACCATTGCACGTAGTAGAATCAGGTTCTACATTTTGTACCTGCTAACAAGCAACAGGCACGATGGTCTAGTGGTCTCGGTTAAGTGTCGCATGTCGGTGAAGTCAGGATCGTTTCCTGCCCTGACAAGGACCTTTTGGCCTTTGTCAGGGGTGCTAACTAATTACGGGGTAGAGAAAAAGGATTAGCTTTGATAGAAAAAATTAAACTTTCACCAATAGACCTAGTAGTCTAGCGGTTACCACTCAAAGCCTTCGGGTGCTATGGTGGAAAGATCGAGTCCGGGTAAGACCAGCTGAGACTTCGTGCTCAGGTAATCGATCTGACCGGCCGTATGCGGAGTGAGACGAAAATCGGGGTTCTGTTTCCCCGAAATTTCTGAGGAAAAACCTTGGCGTATCTTGCTCAAGACGTCGAGGAAAAAGACTTAGTAAAATTTTCCTCTTCTCCCGGCCCCCGCCCCGGGGGCCCTCGCCCTTCTCCTCCTTTGCCCCCTTCCCAACCGAACGCTGTCATATTTTCCTCTTCTCCCGGCCCCCTTTTCGGGGGCCCTCGCCCTTCTCTTCCTTTACCCCCTTCCCAACCGCACGCTGTCATATTCCAAGTTTACCGCGCATGCGCAACATCATGGTAACTAGTAAAGATTAATTTCAATGGTGGTATCATCTCCAAACATTTGCTCCGCCGTTATTTTCTTTTGTCATTTTTTTTTATTATTATTCTTTCATTTGTCCTCGAACCGATCCTGATATATACACGACATTGGCTTTTACAGTCCTGATGTCGCTACCACTAGACCACTTGCTCGTTGTTGGAAGCCGGCTACCGCAACTTATTCACCTTAACCTTTTTTCCCTACCTTGTGTAATTAACATTCGACACATTTCAAGTCACAAAATGAGTTGTAGGACTTGAACCACAATGATACATCACACAACGTGTAGTCTTTACCACTGGACCAATTACTCGTTGTTGGAAGCTTACCGCAACTTATTTTTTGTCTAACATTCGGCACATTTCGAATCACAAAATGACTTCTGTGGGACTTGAACCACAATGTTACATTACACAGCGTGTAGCTTTTACCATTAGACCACTTGTTCGTTGTTGAAAGCCTACCGCAACTTATTCACCGTAACCTTTTTTCTCTAGCTTGTGTAATTAATATTCGACACATTTCAAGTCGCAAAATGACTTTTGTAGGACTTGAACCACAATGTTACATTACACTGGGTTTAGTCTTCACCACTAATTGAAACTTAGTCGGCACCATAATCTTTTTCTTCTAACCAATATAATAAATATTGGATGCATTTCAAGTCTCAAAATGACTTCTGTAGGATTGAACCATAATATATGGTACATTACACAGCCTGTAGTCTTTACCAGAAGCCAGGCCACTATAGCTCGTTGTTGTAAACTTAACGCAACTTATTTTTCACCCTGCTCGGTTTCCTTTGTTCTTATCGGGGAATATATTCAATATTCCCCTCTAATCAATTTCCGTTTAATAATCCCCTCTAATAGTCACCTGCAATTAATAATCCCCTCTAATATTCACCTGCAATGTCTTTGCAGCACAAAAAATGACAAAAAAACAACATCACGAAGGCAATATGGCATTAAGAATTATTTCTGTTCTGACTCATTAACGCGACCTCGCAATGTGAAAAATAAGTACGTTATTTTGAGGCACCTCGGGGATATGTATTTATTCACCTCGGCGCTGCGCGCCTCGGTGAATAAATCACATATCCCCGAGGTGCCTCAAAATAACCTATACTTATTCACCTTATTTTTTTCTCTCATAGTTTGTATAATCAAAATTAATCCATTTTCAAATCACAAAATGGCTTCTGTAGGACTTGAACCACAGCTGGTAGATTACACATGCTGTAGACTTTACCACAAGACCACATACTCGTTTTTGGAAGCCTAACGCAACTTTTTCACCTTATTTTTTCTCTAGCTTGTGTAAGTAAAATTCAACCATTTTTAAGTCACAAAAAGGCTTCTGTAGGACTTGAACCACAGCTTGTACATTACACAGCTTGTAGGCTTTAACACAAGACCACTTGCGCGTTTTTGGAAACCTAACGTAACTTATTTATTTGATTTTTTTTCTCTACAATCTTGGCAAAACGATGATGAAACACCCATAAAAAATCAATAAAATAGACAAAATCCCCCCCCCCCCCTGAACAATGTTGGGCGTAGAGTCTAAACAAATGGGGTTCAATAGTTCAGCGATGGCAGACAGCACTATGTATAGGTTTTTTACTCATCTTAATCAACATTGTAAGGGATTAAATTGTTAATCATACTGGATGTTTCATTAGTTTTTGTAAGGATTGTAGTTCTGCAAGTGTTATATTAATTTGTGTTGTTGTTCCCTCGGTAATATGATAAGGATGAAATGAGATATATCTCGAGTGAGATATATCGTGGTAAACATCTTCTTAGGTGAATTAACAATTCATTCACAGATAGCTGCAATATTCAACTTGTGCTTCCATTAAGTTTTGCGCGCTTAGATTTTAAGATTTAGACTTAGATTTTAAGGTTTTTCAAAGGACACCTACTTTGAATTGGTTGTATACCCTTTTGGAAAGTTTAAGTACACGTCATTCTCGCTATAGAGCCTCGTTTTCGTCATTACGACATTAGGCTATAACATTGTTGCATACACGAAAGCGAAGCTCTATAGCCAGAATGACATACTTTCCGGAGGGGTTTATTGCTTATTTACAGCATCTTATAATTATAGACTTAGCTTTGTCGAAAATTCGGATCCCGGTTGCTGCAATTTTTTGAATGTGTGCAGATAATAGAATAGCTATAGTAAAGGAGTCTAAAATATCTAAGAAAGAATCCAAAAATAGTACGATCTTTTTTACTTTATCTGGTTACCATCACAATGGGAATATTTCACATAATACTGATGTTTTCGTAATCCTCAATACTGAGGATGTGTTGTTGGCGATTTTCGTGATCATACCTTGCAAAATGAGGAAGTACAGCAATGGGCACATTTCTGTGCTATAGCATCCAATATATAGAGACCCATTTAGCACCGAAACTCCAGCTGCGCGCTGTCTGGAAATTACGATATAACTAACTCGAGAACATTTCATCCTTATCATATTACAGAGTGAACAATCGCAACTGGGCTCCGGCCATGTGATCCCGTGCAGCGTTCTCACAAAATGAGCTACAGAGGTCAGTTGTCAAGGTGAAAATAACGCGTCCCGGAAAGTGAAAATATGCCATTTTCAAGGAGCGTTTACTCCCAAGGATAGCCATATATGCCAAATTTTCTTTCCTTATGGTAAACACATGTTGTAGGAGAATATATTTGCTCAGTTGGTAGAGCATCGATCGAGTAACTTGAAGGTCGCGGGTTCGAAGCCCAGCCGCGGCAGGCGCAGTTTTCTGCTTGCGCGCTGTCTGGAAATTATGTCTCTAAGAAATGGGCCCCATATATGATTTATAAACTGATTAAATGATGCTCCCATTCAGGCCTCGAAATAAATCTGGACGTTATACCGGGACCAGTGGATCACTAAATCTACCGGCCACAGCGGAATTTATGCCGGTCATTGTCACTCCTTAATAGCTTCTTTTTCCCCCTAATCTTTCGCGTGACTCGTAACTTTAGAAACAATTGTGTATTTTAATTGTATTTGAATACAAAGTAGAAGTATGGCGTTTATCCAGTCTAGCCCTAGGCTCTCTCGCGCTTGCTTGCTATGCTTGATTCGTTTTTTGTTGGTGAAAGTTGCAGAATGGCTATAGGTAGGGACCAGGCTGGCGTTTATCAAAGCTGTAGTAGTAGTCATTACTAATAACATTAGCATTGTTTACTAGCAAATTATTATATTAAGGTGGCTCCCTACAGTTTTAGGTCTGTGTCGCGGAAATTTTGTCCACGCGCGAGATTAGTAGTGCTACACGCAACACGCGTGATTGACGTTGCACGCGCGGCGGGTTTTTTAAAATTGCGTCGTGATATACACGCGCGAGCCTTCGTGGGATTGTCGGCTGGTCACGCGAGGAAATTGAAATTCTGATTTTTGTGACGTCACATAGTAAAAATAAATGTATTTTCTCGTGTTTCCTTCGGTAAAATTTTTTAAAACTTCACGCACTTTCCTGTAATCTTGAAGTGCGTAAAATGTGAAAGTTCTACGAAAATTCTCGTACGATTTTTTGTAAACGCTATCATTTGAAGGAATTATAGATAAGATTACTGTGTGCAAAAAAGAATCTGCGAATTGGCCCTTTTTAAAATCGCTTTGTTACCATGGCAACGGGGATTTTTAACGACATTTTTTATTTTTCGTAATTCGCGATATTGTAGCAGTTAAGCCCGCCGCACACGAGAGCTACTTGCTGAGCCAACCGCCTCGCGAGGCGGTTAGCTCAGCTATGCAGATTCACCGCACACGTTGAGAAAATTGCTCAGCGGCAATATTTAAAAATGGCGCGAGTTCATCAGATGGTTCTTCTCTTCATTTTGTTAATGCGACGTAGACGTCTTCGCATGATAGCGGCATGTCGACAAACTTGGATCAAAAACTGGATACAAAAACGACCACGACATGGAGTATATGCCAATCTCCTCAGAGAGCTTAATTAATGCCGAGGATCCAGAGATATTCAGACAGTATCACCGACTAGACATCGAGTCTTTCAATAAAGTTTTAAAAATGGTTGGTCCAATCATTCAGAACCAAGAAACCATTATGCGTGCAAGTATCAGCCCTGGCGAAAGGCTTTCGATAACGTTACGATTTCTTGCAACAGGTGAATAAATTTCTAGCGAAGATTGTTTACATTCCGAGTTCCGACGTTTGTGTTATCAACGAAGCCGAAGACCGAGGTTGTACTATAGGTAGTTTCCCTTGCTTTCTTTATATTTTGTGTAAAATTCGCTTCACACAGGCGCCCATGCCGTCACAACGTTGATATGATTTTTCATATTGTTTTTTGACATTTCCAGTGACGTTGCCGGGGGAGGGGGGATGCCCTCCCTGGCAAAATATTGGGGCCCCTTGGAAAAATTCTGACCAGTACAAGCATGTGCATTATATTGTCATTTCTTGTAATGGAAATTTTATATCTTCCTATGTTTTATAGTTATGTAAATGTTCTAGATCCGTTTGTGATTAAGCAGAGTTACGGTAAATAATTATTTAAAATCACCAAAACACCCTCAAAATGCTGAAAATGGCACTTTACAAACTCGAAATTAGGAAATTTCCCGGGGGATCATACCAGACCCCTCTAAAAGTTCATTGTACTATATTATGCATGGATATCACATAAAAAAACTTTATTTGAACTAGCATATGGTAAAATTGCTTGGCCCCTGCAAGGATCCCCTCCCCTTTTGACTAGCAATCATGTTTATGCCACTGCACAGTTCAAATATGGTACATTGCACAAACACCATCAACAGGCAACTATGCAAGTGGTGCCAGTGAACAGTACTGGACCTAGTGTGACTTCTGTTTTCTCTAGTTGAGACTTTTAGAAGTCTGTCCTTTCAGTTCAGGGTTGGCGAACGGACAATATCAAATATTGTGCATGAAACCTGCCGCGCGTTATACATGGTAATGAAAGACAAGAATCTGAAGGTAATTTTAATAATGTTCGTTGTAATTATAAACATGTTGTAAAAGGAACCAATGTTGCATTACATGAACATATAATTTGAATATCAAATGTTTATCACACATTTGTACAACTAAACATTTTCAAACTCAACTTTAAACAATTTGAATGGTCAAATATTTATTGGTGTACTTGTGAAGGAAACTGCTGTTGTGCGAAGAATGGTTGCTGCTGTTGGGGAACCATTTGACTTTTATTCAGAATCCCGATTATGCTTGAAATAGAATGTTATTTACGTGATACTGTGCAATGTGCCTGGTCTCAGGGTCCAGTTTTCGCAGTGACTCTGTCAAATAGCTTCCAAACGTATCACATTCTTCATCTTGAGCCGACTTGGTCTTTTTAGGATTATTGGATGTGGTACCATGTCAGACTCGTCCCCAGTCGTTATTTGAATTTCAATTTTATATATAGGGACGAATAGGTATATATCCATATATATGTATAGATCAGTACCAAATGTGGACGCGCGCAAGGGGAAAAGGGAAGGCGAGGGAAAAAATAACGACTGGCAGATTACAGAGACAAAATGGCGGACAATTTGACAACAAAAGAGGAAACGGCTATTTTAATATTATATACACCACAGAGCGTTTTTAGCTGATAAACTCCCTTGTCCGCATGAGGAATGTCAGTATAATTTATCTTGTTAATTACTATGATCAAGATGGTTTAGACCACCATTACAGGACAATCCATAAATGTCCTGCAACCTGATTAGTGATATTAAAATTTAAAAGGCGAAAAGTCTTATTGTGCCAAATAACTGAGAGAAGCACTCAAAGGAAACACTGTCATGTTTGGAAAAGCTATCGATTAACAACCAATCGAAGGTATTCGTAAATCTAGAGTGTTGAATGCCTTTAATTGGAGCCAGCGAGCAATATAAAAACAGGTTGGTATTTTATTCAATTTTATTTATGCGTTTATATCTTTATATTTCACGTTGAAATGCACTCTTAGGCCCGGTTTAGACGCCGTGCTTATCATGAGCCGAACTTAATGTTAATTAACTAAGTTCTTTGTTTAAGCTCATTTGCATTAAGTTCGGCTCATGAAAAGCACGGCGTCTAAACCGGGCCTTAAACTCTTTGTATTATAAAGAAGACAGCTTTATGCTGGGGGTTTTTTTGCAACCTGTGTATTTCAAAACTACAAATTTTTGTTATTTATAAATTACTTTATAAAGTGCTATTAACTCCAGGTTTTGTGTAGTATGATTATGTGCCAACTTAAAACTTTGCATACAAAGCTATTAAATCAATGACAACACTTTTGGAGCATTCAAATATTTCCCAAAATACCTGTAAATAACAAAATATACCCCCCCCCCCTAACTAAATGTTGCTGTATGATGAAAAGACGTTACATTGGTCATTAACAACACATTGTTGGGGGGCACAGGGTTGTAGGGATAATATAGAAGCTCAGGTGGCACATAACTCCTATCATAGCCTTAATTAAACAATTTGAAAAACCAGAAATACTGTATCAATGCACTGGGGCCAATCTGGCAATTACTTCTAACTATGTTCTGACAATCCTTGCACTCATAGTCCTTGAAATGATAAGGTAATTTCTACCTTGTATCATAGCCAACGTTTAGGGCCACTTTCGGTGCCTTAGCAAGCTCGATAATTGGGGGAGGCTCATATTCATATATTATATTCGTGTTCTGCGTTATTAATTTCTTTTGAAATGGATTGTTTTTATGGACTGTGAATATGAATATATGAATATGAGGGCCCCCCCCCCCCAATTATCGAACTTGCTACGGCACTGACTTTTGGTTGTTATACCATTAAGTCTGATAATTGCACCACCAATGGTTCTGGTATCTCTTGTTTTTCCCATCATCATTTCTGTACTCAACTTTACAACATATAATATATTCTTGTTTATTCCAGAATTATCTTACAATTGGGACACCATTTATCACACAATTGGGAATTTGTCCTGACTCACCCTGGTTTCCCAATTAAGCCCTAGAGTGACAGCACTCTCCCTTGATGAGTAAATTGTCTGGTGTTAGACAGAGTAAAATAATAATGTAGGGCATATCAGGGTGCATTGCCACTTAAAGGGTTAATCTTGATCTGGGTGGCAAAATACTGCAGTACCAAGCAAGATGTATGGAAATTGAAGACACAAAAGCTGGATTAATTTTGAACCATTTTAATTGGACTTCTTCAATGGAATTATTAACAGTGAATAGTTTTAAATTAATTTAAAACTAAAATGTATTATAATTACAGTTAATGTACATGATGTAGTGGAGCATGTCTATTATATTAACTTAATAAAGCTTTATACTTTCATATGTTATCTGCATGGTGGGGGGTGGGTGGTTGTGCAGAAAAATTCAGGGGGGGGGAAAGGTGAGTGAGGGGCATGTAGCCACAGAATAAGGCACACAGAAGGTCGACTCGAGTAACCACTGCCACACCATGATTCATCATCAAAATGCTGACGCCATGGTCCTAGCCAGTGCGCATTTAAGAGGCATTCCCCCCTGGACGTTCGCCATTTTGAATAATATCAGGGGGTGAATGCCTCTCAAACGCGCACTGGCTAGGACCATGGCGTTAGCATTTGATGACGAATTACAGGTTACGCCTAAATCATAGGAAAACCCGAGAAGTCGGCCTTCTGTGTACCTTATTCTGTGACGTAGCATCCTGAGGAAGATTAACCAAAGCACAATATACCAGACAAATATAAAAATATTATGTCATTTGTAATACAATGTTATGAATTGGATTGATCATGTATTACATATGCACATCAGCCTTTACACATGTAAAAAGAATATATATATGTTATTTACCGGATTGGAGGTCCGTATAGAGAAATATTTCTCGAGGTCTTAAAAACGGCCCGAGGCCGAAGGCCGAGAGACGTTTTTAAGACCGAGAGAAATATTTCTCTATACGGACCGACCATACCGGTAAATAATATTTTTATTTTTTTTTAATTCCTCCTCTGGATTTCCCCAATCACTCCTCCCGCACGCGAATGAAGCTGCCAAATAAAACGTCGTTTCTATCAATGCTATCGGGAAGAGTAATATCTTTTGTGAGATAGTAAAATTCGCTTTCACTATGTTCTTCATCGTCTGCAGATATTTTAAAAAGTAGCCTTTAAACTCGTCTTTAAATTTTTAAAAATAGAAACATTGGCTCTACGGCATTAAATCTCGCGCGGTCCGTACGGGCTCATACGGACCGCTCACGTAGCCAATCAGATTGCAGAAAAGCGTAAAATATGACTTCGGACCGCAAGAAAAAAAATAAATTTGTTTATGTTCGCACAACACCCTTTTCTTTTCACAGTTAGGAAATATGGCTGCCAAAGCTCTTGAAAGGTGGCTTTTTACACTAAGATCATCAGTAACAACATCCTCTTGTTTAAGTCTCAACCCATCTGTTTTGATGCATATATTCTTTAAAGAGCCCTGAAGATCTCCAGAAACAAATGTGCTAACATCACCTGCACATTCAAACAAGTGACTTATTAAAAATACAAGTTCCAACCTTGAACAACTTTCCTGCATTTAGTTCTTGTCGTAATCCCGGACTCTTAGAATCTGGTGTTAGGTCGTGTTTGACGTCAAATGGCAGTAACTTTCTCGCTTTAGGAGTTCTAGGAGTGCTGGTCTTGGGACATTCATCTAAATTTATGGAATTGAAGTCTATAGTTCAGAACGACAAAAATTACAACTTGAAACAAGGCAACATGGCGCTAATCAGCCGAGCGTATAATGAATTCCAGTTTCTTAATTCTTTAGTATACGCAAATTTATGCTACGGCTCAAAGGGTCAACAAATTCAAGACATTCAAGTGGTAGAATGTATTATATTATCTTTTAGACTCACCATCTAAGTTCAGCAGAGTCCACCATTTTGAAGTACTCCAGACTTGACCAATTGAAGGCCGATATACTTGATAAAAATACGCACTTTGCAGAGACTACATCATAAAATGATCGATTTATGTATACCAATGTCAAAAAATCCAGAATTGAAGCATAAAATATTAGTTTGCAAGAAAAACAATTTCTTGCAAGAAAAATCACAGTAATCTGCCAGTCGCTAAATTTTCTTCTTTCGCCCTTGCCGTGAGCCTCTACGCGCCCACTTCTGGCCGCGCGCCCGCTCTTAAAGCGACTGGGGACGAGTCTGGTACCATGTGACAGACTGCTAGCTATTCCTTTCATTATTTGAAGTTCTTCTTCCTGAAGTTTTTTCTTTGCAGATTTAGCCCTTGGTTTACTTGATAATTTTGTTGATTTAGGTCATTCTTTTTGAGATAGGAAATCATCATCTTCTTCTTCTTCAATCTCATTAAAAGGATCTATCTCACCATGAAAAGATCTGACACTTTCTGTTGGAAGTGGTGTCTGTAAAAGATATAATTCAACAAATTATAATATAACTAATTACTATAGTATTTAATTTTCACTATTTTAATAATTTTACACTCCTGCTGTTCAAGAAGATTGGTTAAAAATAGCCGATGAATTTAAAACTAAATGGAATTATCCATGTTGCTTAGGTGCACTAGACGGGAAGCACATAGCGATCCAACAACCACAAGATAGTGGGTCAGAATTCGTCAATTATAAACACATTTTTAGTGTGTTACTTCTGGCCTTGGTTGATGCAAACTACAAATTTGTGTATGTGGATGTAGGAGCTTCAGGTCGAGCTGGTGATACTGGTGTGTTCGGAGAATCATCACTGAAGAAAGTATTAGGAGATGGAACTCTGAATTTGCCACCTCCTATAACAGTAGAAGGTATTCCAAGCAAAATTTGCTATCATATTGTTGGAGACGATGCATTCCAATTAACCGAAAACATTATGAAACCTTAGGAACTTGGACAAATCCAAGAGGATTTTCAACTATCGTTTATCCAGAGCAAGGCGTGTTGTTTGAAAACGCCTTTGGGATTTTGGCTAACAGGTTCAGGGTATTTTTGACAACTATTAAAGCTTAGTCCTGACAAAGTTGTTGACCTTGTTCTGGCTGCCTGTTGTCTGCATAATTTCATGATTGACAACAATATGCACGCCTGTACAAGTGCTCTTGATGTTGAGGACATTGATCAACTTCAGTTTACATCGGGTGCTTGGCGAAATGATCCACAATTGAGTGGACTAGCTCCAACCTCTGGCAGGAATCCGCCACAAGGTGCAAAGAAGCAACGACAAATTACTTTGCATCAGAATATGGTGCTGTACCATGGCAAGAATACATGACTAGTCTTTAGAAAACATAACAGACATGATAGATACACACTATTCAACACTGAAGTTGACAATAAATAAGTTAAATGTATATTATATTATATGTATATTGTATATATAAATTTCTATTGCTGCATATCCACCATCTATATATTTACAAAGTGACTATATATGACCGGCAGCCTGTCACGGTTTATCAAATACTACAGAGACAGTTTTTCGTTTGGGGGGAGGGGATAAATATTTGGGGGGGTGCTGCTGCTTGCTTTGGCCAGGGCATAGTGGCAATGCCCGGAAAGACCAAGGAAAAGTTTAACAAAATTTGTTTTCTAGACCTACATGGCGAGATCTGAGACCAAAATATTGGTAATTTTACAAATTTAGTAGTAAGATTTATCAAATATGAAACTATCAAATCAAAATATATGTAATTTGTGGGGGTGCAAAAACTTTTGGGGCAGTGCCAAATACCTATGGGGGAGGGGTGCTAATCATTTCTGGGGGAGGTGCACACCACCCCCAGAAAATCTGTGCCTGAAATACTAAATGGCCAACAGTATAGTGATCATAGTTAAATATAAAAACCTTTGTTTCCGCTAGTTTTTACCGAGCTTGCTGTTAGCATACATATTTGGCAAAGGCGCTACATGCGGAAAGTAAAACGTAGTCGGGGTCGGGATGTGTTTTGTCTGACTGAGCATTTTTTTCTTAAAATTTTTAAACTTTTATTTCTGGCTATTCTAACTCTCAAAAGGTTAGGGTTAGGATTAGAGAAGGGTATGGAGTTAGGATTGGTTTATTTTATAAAATTTAACTTTAACTATAGTCACTATACCGCCGGCCATTTAGTATTCGATAAACTGTAACCGTCTGCCGGTCATATAGGCACTTCGATATATTTATCTATCTATCATAAAAAACATACTTCACCCAAGTTGGATACTGTAGGTCTTGTTGCAACATGCGGTAAAAGGAATTGAAGCTTGTCTAACAACCAGGCTGTTCGTTTAGATGAGTTTTTGCGGGCACATGCCACTTGCAGGCTGTTTTATATATAGCTTTCGTATAGCTATTGCGAAGCAATCTCAATTTGTTTTTCACCCAGTCAACTACATCAAAATAAAAGTAAATGATATCAAAACTGTAGTGTTGTACAAAAACCACTTGATAACATTGTTTTTCTTATTTTGTGCATAACATTCTAAGACTGACTTAGGGACCGGCCATTATTTATGGCAGGGGGGGGGGCGAAGAGAAAATGGGTGGGCAAACAAAATTTTATGGGTGGGTTGAATAAAAATTCACCAAGCCAAGGGGTGGGTAAAGTAAAAACCATTAAGTTGGAAAATACTAAAATATTTGCATTATTTGTTTTATTAAGATCGAATAAATTATAACGATTTTTGGGCAAAAATTGTAATTACATATCTACATACAAGTGATACAATATATATATATATATATATATATATATATATATATATATATATATATATATATATATATATATATATATATATATATATATATATATATATATATATATATACAACTGCATGCATCATTTACTAGTCTGGATAGTTAAGGTAATTCCGCAGTAATTGTTCCCGAAATGAGAATGTGCTGAAACTTCCCAGGCATGGAGTTTATGATATACTTAAAGTAAAATAACACAAAAAAGTCGGGGTCACCGAACTCGTTAAGAAGATACGAGAATCACAATATACCACCTTTACCTCCAATATGGCGCCATCTTGACGCTCATTACGAGTAGCCGCAAACTCAAAACAGCCCGATATTTATTGACGTTTTTAGCGCGGATTTTGCTTTAGTAAACCTATCTTGTAATTATTTTTGAAAAAATATTGTGTTTTGAGCAAAATGAAACTACTAACGTGTACAATTCTGATCCACAAATATCTTTTGCACATTTCTTTACACATCTTTCTTTGAGAACATGCATTGATAAAGCATTTTTTTCAAGATCCAGAAATGATTTTTCTTGTAATTTCGGATATGAAATGTAAAATGCATTAAAGAAATAAATTATCAGTTAAAAAACGGGGGTCACCGACCTTTTTAGGGAATTGTGGCATTAAAACGTGAAATACAAGTAAATAAATATACTACAGACACAGGGAACCCTAGCTACACTTTTGTATGCTTTTTTTGAAAACATTGATTTTAACGTAATTCTTTGCACGAATGTAACCAAAGATGTTTTGAAGTAACATAAAATTGTCATAAAATGATATTTTGTTTTAAACGGTACGTATAACGGATGAAATTATAAGTTATAAGATATGCGCAGTAAAAGTGCGCAATGCAAAACTGCGGAATTACCTTAAACTTTTTCCACGCCGGACATCGATTCAGGCACATGTAATTTGGGAAAATTAAAAATTTCGGAAATATAAATGCACAAAAGTTCCAAATACACGTTTTTAGTATAAACCCATAATTTACTTGAGAAATACGCACCTGTTTGACTTAGTTTCTTCGCAATTTCCTCCATTGCCTGTTGTCTCAAATCTCTATTTTTAAATTCGGCTGCTCTCACATCATATAGACACGGATAAGCGGGCCACATCTCCACAAGTTGATCTTCAAGAAGTACATCGTTGACAAGATTATTTCTATCGTTTGTCGCCATTTTAACATAAAATGACTCAAAGTCATGTGAAGAAACTATGGGTTCTCATTTGCTCGTTATTTCAAGCAGCTCAGCACATAGCTCACAACATCCGCAGACGCTGAGATTTTTTCCTCGCGAGCCAAAAAATATCAAACACGATAGATAAATTCCTCAAGTCCTCGAGAGGTCAAATCATCACGAAAACTATCCGCACACGAGAGCTTCTTAACCAGGGCGCTTATATATAGGGCGGCGCAACGGGAGCGCACGCGCTGATCGACGTGTGATGCGGAAAAAAAATTGGGCGCGTACGATTTTGCAGGAAATTGAAGAAAACCGCGATTTTAAGTTGTTCAGTTTGTCTGCCCATTTTTCGCAATCTTTTTGGTGTTTGAATGGTTTAAATGGCAAAATGGCTTGTACACGAGAATTTATGGTCGATAATATCCGTGCCTTTTTATGACTTCCATGGAGACTAAATTTCAAATGAGGATATCTTGTGTGAATCTACTGCCAACACCTACGAACCAAGGTATGTTAGAGTTCCTTATTTTATGTGTACGTATTTGAATCTTTCATAAAAATCGAAGTGGATTCTTAGAAGATATCATGACTGAAATAAGACCCTTTTTCAGGCCCTGTTTTTCCCACTTTTGCAGGTCATATATTTTGAATGATGTGAACAATACGAAGTATTTTGACCGGCTGTTATTTGCATTAGTTCTGTCGATGTATTGCTAAAGTTTCATATTTATTGAAGCATTTTTAATATGTTTTCACAGCACATTTATTACATAGTTCTGTGCAGCACGAACCTAGTTATTTGAGAATATGCTGTGCGCTTTATAGGTTAAAATTCTGCCAACACCGTAGTTCTTCTTCGGATGCTAGGCGAGAAGTATTGTGTTCGATATTCGTTGAAATAAAATAGTTTGAGATGGATTCTTGCCCTCTATCTAACTTGTAATCTGGGGTACTCGATCGAAGGTCGATGTTTCTTCTATCGAACATTGAGCAAAAGGTGATCATATAGTACATTGCTTTCGCACTTTCAAAAGTCTTTTGCAGTGAAAATGTCGTCAGCAGTTTTAACCGAAAAATTTGGAAAATCTTATATTTTAAAACAAAAACTTCAAAATCAATTTATTTTATCGAAAACTTCGAGAGTGTTAGAGTTATTGTACACTATAATTATAATTATAATAATACTGATAGTATAAAATAGATTTGGGTATTGTATATTTTTACTCATGGTTTTCGATAAATGTTTGTGTTTTAGACAATAAGATGTGCTGATGAACAAGGCTGCAAGATTAAACTGGGTTGGAAAAAAATGTTTAATTATTTGATGTAAAAGTCTAGGCTATACTCTAGTGCTAAGTTCTCTAGTAAGTCAAGGCTATACTGGTTTATACGACGTTCAAAACTTCAGATCGGCAAAAATATGATCGACTACAAACTGTATATTAAACTATATAAACATGATATTAAAGTAAAATTTCGTTCGTTTTATTTGTTGTTGTTTAGTTCATGTTTGATAATGATAATAAAAAAGCTAGAGACAACTTAGTCAGTTGAAACGTCAAAAACTGAGTGAAACGAAGTTAATTTCACAACTCTTAAAATTTGTTTTTATTACAGCGTTGTTGCTATGCAGATTGCTAAGACATAGAGCAAACAGGTGGGAAATTTGTCGTCGCTGACCAGGAAATCGCGGGCAGAAACAAAGCTCATTGCATTTTATTTCAAAACAAAGCAGAAAGTTGGGAAGAGGCTGTTTTAGCTGACGATTTTTTGCTTTCCATTCAACGATTTACAAATCAACGGTTATTCTTTTAAAAGTCGACTATGAATTCTTTGTTTTGGGATGATTTGTTTTGTAATCGAGTGATTGGGAGAAGTGAACATGGGAGTAAATACCGTATATGTCGATCTGTGGCTTGTTTAAAACCGTAATAAACGAAGAAAGACGTGATATGAGAATGAAATGTGAGTTTAAATTAACTTTATATGCCTCAAAATTTCCATCCTATGTTTCTTAATGTAACTTCAGCTGTCTAAGTTCGAAATACAAGCTCGCGAAACTTGACAAATTTTGAAAATATGTAAAAATGGCTTGACTTTGAACTGTATTTTCTCAAAAATAGCCAGTGGCCTCAATTTCAAATATAGCTAAATGAAAGGAAAAAACTTTTTGGCGTTTGTAGGTATCAAACATATCGTCAGGAAAATAGGGGCTCACAATGTTTTAGCTGAGTCTTTGAGACCCAGTTGCTTCACACGTGTTGTTGTCAAATTTTTGCCAAGAATCGAAGGCCGAAATGTGAACTTCCTTCATGAAAACCGCTTCGAGAAGGGTCTAGTTTGAAAATTTAGCTATTACTTTCGATTTCATGAGCATATTTTGGTTACACGTTAAATATTTTTGTACTTGATGAGATTCAAAATTTGTTGAATATTCAAGCCCGGCTTTAGTGTAATTTTGGTGATGACCGGAACAGAAATAAAGATATTTTAAAAACTGGCCGTGGCCTCACGATAAAACTTTCTAAAAATGTTCTCTGTTTCATGTATTTTTATTTGATATCTTAGGTATAAGCGTAAAAATAGGGGCTCATACAGTTTACGAGGTTGTAAAATGCATGAGTAGCCTCTATTTTCATGTAAACATTCGAAATTTTATGACAGCAAAGCAGCAACTGTTTCAGATGGAATGCACACAGACAGTCCGCCAGAGACAATGGCAGGGTACTGAAATAGAACGTCACTAAAAAATTCTGTATGATTAATTTAGATCATGTCCATTTTCAACATAATAAAACAGTCATTTATTTTGTACAAACATTTGGTAATATTTACACGATTGTGCCTTTTTGTAAACACGCGTTGCGTGTATTCCACGCAATTGCGTGAGTCATTTTGCTCACGCATGCTTAACCTGAAGTTCAGGCCCTAATTTGAAATAGGGCCTGACACAAAACCTGTCTAGACCGTGGGACGCCCACATGTCATTTTTAGACACAACATGCAATATGATTGACAAGTGTTGTAGATTTCGTTACACAAAAAAATTATATTCTCATGAACATGTCCGCAGAGTGTGCATTTTGCTTTATAATTAAACTTAAAAATTCAAGGTACTGTTATATAAATAAGATTCAAACAAAGATTTAATTAGTCAGTTCTGTGCACGGCTTGACTGCCAAGCTTACTCAAGGTCTCAGTCAACTTGCTGGACGCGGATATTAGGGATATACTTTATTAAAACGGGCTAACAACAGCAACAATGAAATTCTCAATCGTACCACGAAGAAGGCGATTTAGCTCAGAAAACAACGCCGGTAGGACCTGATATTAAAAATAAGACTTTTGCCGGCGAAGCCAGTTGGCAGAACATCTTGGCTGTCAACAACAAGCTTTCGAATACATGACTAGTTTGGCTTTGGCTGTTCTTTCGGCGTCTTGTGTCCAAAATTCGTCCAAGATTTTTATAAAGCCCTTTCAAAATACTGTTTGTTTGAATGTTTGATTTATTTTCTGCCATAAAGCATAAAAGAAAAAGAAATTCGAAGAAATCGATGATGGAATTTGTACGTGCGTTTGACCTTTATATTAATTGTCGCCTTGACCGAGCTATTTTTAAAACTGTTGTTTATGTAAACTTGCAACCAATCAAAATCCTTCATGATGCTGATCAACCAATCAGATTTCCCGTCCACCAGATGGACGGGAATCCCACACTTTAGATAGGTTTTGTGTCAGGCCCTATTCTGTGATTAGGGCCTGAACTTCAGGTTAACGCATGCTCAGACAAATTTCCCACCTGTTCATAGAGCAATGTTAAGTTAAGATTGACTACCGCTGACCGTGTAGTGCAGGAAATTGCTTACCAGGCCCCGCATCATACGTCGATCAGCGAAATCACCAATCTCGAAACCAGAGCCCGCAATCCTCTGTGGAGGCTTGCTGAGGCTCTGGGAAACACCGGTGAAAGTCGGGCTCTGATTGGTTGTTTTTCAACATCCTCGTCCCCAGGCCCAAGCAGCTCTCAAAGTTTTTCAAGTGCTAATTATTATTCAAACTTTGAGCCGTATTTAGTTATTCGGATTTCAAACATCGTTTAAAATTTATATAAAGTTTATTTCTCTTTGTGTATTATGTCTAAACATATCAATGAAACACACAGCATAACATTAATAAACTTATTAAGCTTTCCTAGCTTCTCATATGAAATCAAAAGACTATTCTATTTCTGATATTGATATGCTATAAATAACAAAATTAGAATAACAACAGTACAACATTACCATATTAGGCCATGATAAGCCGTTGCCTATAATATTTAAAATAACGCAACAATCCATGATTTACCGTAATTAAACAAGTTAAAATAAATCACTACCAGTATCTTACAACAATTCAAAACCATGGCAAGTGTTCTTTGAAGAATTAAAGTCGTAATAAGCTTAAACAACGGCATAATTCATGTTTGACGGCAGTGATGTCTATTTATAAATGTCGAGCGGAGTACTGGATCCAAATGTACTGATTTTCGTGCAAAAGTCGCCGGTGTTTCCCAGAGCCTCGGCAAGCCTCCACAGAGGATTGCGGGCTCTGGTTTCGAGATTGCGAAATCACTGGCGTTGCGCCGCCCTATATATAAGCGCCCTGGGCTTAACTGCTACAATATCGCGAATTACTAAAAATAGAAAAAGTCGTTAAAAATCCCCGTAGGCCGTTTGCTGTGGCAGAAAAATGTGCCTAGAAATTAAGCATGTCGTGGAACTGAAATATTTTTACATAACTTACCACTTTCGAACATGCTGAATCCAAATCCAAAGACTTCCCGCGCAGTAAACCCGCAGTATTTTTGCAAAATCCATGTATATTTTCAATACTTCAACAAAGTTTTGACAGGCTTCCGCCATTTTGAATTTCGTCCTCGATACATCCCATCACTCGAAAGAACGTTTATTCTGTCCCAATCCCCCGATTCACGCCATAATTGTCATTTTGAATGATGAGATATAGGAAATAAGTGAAATAGAATAGTCATTAAGGGGGTTCCCAACATTTTGTTGGAAGGAAATGAACCAGAACAAGAAGCTCTCAACAGAAGCTCTCAACAGCGTTTAGTCGCTGGGGCTATTAAAATAAGGTCTTCTGCGCAGGGCTTCTGCGCTTATTGCTCTCTCTTCTGAGAGTAGTGTATAAGCGCAGAAGCCCTGGGTACGAGGTTGATATCACTTATTGGATTTATCTGGCTTAGGCCAACGCTTAGGCCAACTTCGGGGACACTGGAAACTAGGCTTAAACAAATTTATTGCAACTCCACATTTTGACCCTTCAACTGATTTTCTTAAAAAATTTAATGCCCCTCCCCCCTTCTAGTAAATTATTTATACTCATGGGGTCATAGCCCCACCTTTTGCACCCCCCTCCCTCTTCCATAAATAAGGACTGGTCCCTAACTGCAGGAAAAATATGTGCACTTCACAGAACATTTATAATAATTCATAATTTATATATTATCTTTGCCTCAGGCTGGGTAACCACAACAGAAGTTGCCAAATAGGCCCTTTGAGCTTGCGTGTCAGGCTCGATGCTTGAAATAGGGCCTGTTATACCCTGTGAGCAGAGTCCTCTCGTATTTCTTCTCGGCACGGCACGGAGAAGCGAGAGAAACTCTGCAGAACTTGTGTATAATTTCATTTGAGCAAGCGCGAAGGTTGCTGAGCAACTGCCTATTTCCCAGAAGAAGACTTAATAAGTAGTTTCCGGTTCGGATCAAAACCGGCTATAAAACTGGTATCAAACCTGAAATTACTCATAATTATCCAAGTTTTTGGATTGTCGGTTCCACAAAGAATATACACAAGTTCTGCAGAGTCTCTCTCGTGCTGAGAAGAAATACGAGAGGACTTTGCTCGCAGGGTAAGCCTGTTACTGAAGTCAATAAAAAGTGGACACTGATTGGGATGCACAAAAATAACAACCAATCCAAATGGCGATTGTTAATTACGTATCAGACAATTCCAGCAGTGCCCATCCCCCCCGAGGTATTAGCCATTTCTGGGAAGAAAATGGCTATGTCCACAAACCATTTGCAATCAAATTAAATATAAGTTTTCCAGCAAATCTACCAAATCCCCCAGTTACTAGTTACTTTTAATA